GGCAGCACAGGCTGAGAGATTCAGGTCCCACTGAGGCCGCCATGGCCAAGGTTACGTCCCCACCTGCGATGCTCAAAGGCTCGGCCCAGCTAGGAAATCACGGGGCCTCGCTGTCCTGTCACTGGGCCCACAGCAGGGGCCTCACTGCTCCTGAGGGATCGACTGACCCCATGTGCTGTCCTCACAGGTTGGGCAGGGGTGTCCTCCGAGTTGACAGCTGGTCAGTCCGGTGGGGCTGGGACAGGCCTTGGCGGACCCTCCTGGGCAGTGTGAGCAGCTGGGGAAGGCCTGGGGGGGGGGGGGGAGGGTGTCACAGGACAGCAGGGGGCTGTGCTGACTGGGACTTCATTGCTGAAACGGCCGTGGGCCCCACTGGGCTAACCAGCCTGACATCCACTGGCCCATGTACCTTCTCCCCCATCACTGCCACTCCCAGCTTCCTCCAAGGACTCGGGACCCCCACCCGGCCTGAGGACACACATCCTGCAGAGCCCCTGTGTTGGTGTCAGAGCTGAGGGGTGCCCTGGAGCCCACCATGGCCTGGGGTCCAAGGGAGGGCCCTGCAGACAGGTGGGGGAGGGTGGGAGTGGTCTGGGGAGCAGACTGGTCCAGGCCGAGGCTGCCAGGCGGCCTCCGGGGAGGGTTTTGAATGCTGGCTACCCCGGGTGACTCTCTCACTCCTCCTGAAGCTGCATCCAAGTCCAACTGGCGGTTTCTCTCCTACCCAGGCTCACCCACAGCTCCTGGGCCAGCACTTTCTGGGCTGGTCCACTGCACCCCAGTCCCCCATCTCATCAGCATCGAGCCCATGTTTTTGCCTCCTAAATTCACAGCCCCGTCCTGCCCATCTTGCTTTCACCTTAATCCTGAGACCCTGGGTCTCCATAAACCAGCCAGGTCATCAGAGGTGACCAGGACCACGGCTGCCCGCTCAGCTCACCCACTGTCCTCTCGCTGACGTTCTAGTCTCTCCCCGTTTTGTCACACATGGGGGTGTTGCGAGAGCGCCCACTGAGCATGCACGGAGTTCGCCCTGGTCACGGTGCTGCTTTCAGGACACAGACATGGGCCGTAACTACCTCCCCTAAGGCGCTCCTGGCCAAGGGGATGGGGGCTCCTGGTCGGTGTCCTCTATGTAGGGATGAGGATGGACTTGAAGAGCATCTCATGGCTCTGGTCCAGCTGATTTTAGCGCCCCCACCTCCCCCTCCGTTAATGAGCGGGACAGATGCAAAGCCCCAGCTCTGGCTCAAGAGTGTGGGCACTTTTGTCTTCAGGGTGGGGTTTAGTACCAAGGACAGGGTGCCCATGGGGTGTGTCTCTGCCCAGGGCCCTGACAACGGGCCAGCTGGAAATGCTAGGATTTTCTGGTTCTCAAGACACATGGTGATGAGACTTAGAAAATTCTGAAATTAGTAATGAGAGTTTGTAGGACTTTGGAAAATGGATTTGAGGCCTCAGCTGTCCGGGGTCCCCGTGGCTCCACTCAGTGTCCTCTCCAATGGCCCCCAGAGCTTTCTGGCCTCCTAGGAGGTGTCCCCTGGGAAAGGGCTGCAGGCAGGAGCCGGCAGAAGGTGGCAGCACCCATGGGGGCAGGTCTCCCCAGAAGCACCTGGAGACCTGAGAACTCAGCATGGCTTTTGTCATGACCATGGACCATGGTTCCCATTCAGGCAGATAGGCCCTGTGGCTGTCCACACCTGAGGAAGGTGGAGCTCCTCGGTGGGGTGACCGGGTCCATAGGGATCACAGGCTCTGGGCCCGGTTGTTCCAGCTCAGGGAGAGACCTGGCTCTGAACACCCTGGGCCCCAAACCCGTCTGGAAAACCAGGTGACCAGTGCGCATTTCTTAGCTTCCAGTGCCACCTGCTGGAATTTTGGGGAATTACATCCAGCAGCGCCCAGGGGTTCCCTGTTCCTTCAGTTACAGCACTGGGGGCTCAACCCTCCCAGCAGAGCACTGGGTTCTCAGGACACATGCCCTGGGCCCTTCCCAGTGTCACCCACACTCCCCCCCCCCCCGCACGCTGGGATGGAGGGACATGAGGGGACACCGGTAGACCTGAAGGCCAGGTTCCCGGGATCCTGGGACAGAAACGGATCCGTGGGAATCGGGAGTTGCCAGTCCTCCTCGTGGGGACACCATGTGGCTTCCCAGGGCCACAGGACTAGGCCCTCGGCCCTCGGCCTTGGAGTTCTGTGCTGTCTGTGCAACTTCCCCCAAAGTCCACGGTCACTTCAGGACACCGGGCTGGGAGGGGGGACAGGCAGGAAAGTCCACCCATGGTGGACCTGCCCAGACAGGTGCCGGCATCCTCCACGGCACCCCAAGATCCGAGTTGTGTGGGGACACAGGGACCCCCAAACTCTGCTGGAATATCGAGGATCCTCTGCTGACTCTCTGACCCCAGTGACCTTTACTGTGAGGCCCAGGTGGAGTTGCTGAAGGACCCTTTCCGCCTGAGACCCAGGTCCCAGGATCCATGATGCTCCAGGCCTGTTCTCACAACCCCAGTCCCCACACCCCTTTCTCCCCGCATGTCCCCCACCCCATCTCCCCATCCTCATCCCCCATGCGTCCTCACCACAGTCCAGGACATGGCCAAACTCCAAGCACCTGTGCACCTCAGATGTGGGTAAAGTTCCCAGGAGGAGCGGAGAGCCTCCAGTCACACTCTGGGCTCTGGGGAAAATCACTTCTAACATCCCTGTACCTCTAAGGTCCTCCCTCACTGTATCAGGTGTCAGGTGACCACCACCCTGACATGGGACAAGGCCAGCCCACCCCCCCACCCACGTCATCCATCCACCCGCCTGCTCCTCCGTCTGTCCATCCAGCCATCCAGTCCACTCCACACATGACTGAGTGCCACTGAGGCCAGGGGCTCAGGGCCACCTCCTCACCTCCTCACCCTGCCTGCAGTCACTTCCCTCAAACTAGTCTCTGCCCTCCATCACAATTGCTCCAAAGTCCAATGATCTGAACACGCTGACACACTGGAGACCCCCACTGATCCGTGTAACTTCCACAGAACCCCCAAAGCAGCTGCTCTCTGCCCTGCAGCATTCTCTCCCAGTCTCAGTTTCTCTCTCCTCACCTCCCATCTCTCCCACTCTGTCTGTCTCTCCTCTGCAGCTGTTCCTCAATGCTGCTCACCTGGCCTCACAGGTGAGCACCCACCACCAGCCGTGAACACATGCCAGACCCTCCCCACACACGCCTGGGCTCCCTTGACTTTGGGTTGTTCCTCCTGCTGGTCACACTTCTGGAGGGTGGTCCCCATGCGGCTTCCTCCTCTATGTGAGGCCTCCGTGACCTCTCAGGCGTGTGGGCAACACAGCCTGTGAGCCGGCCTCCCCTGCCTGCACTGGTACTCGGCCCCAAGGCCCCCTGCCGGGTCTGTGCAGCTCTGTCTGGTCCCTCTGTATCCTCAGCTTCCCTCTCACCTGCTCACAGGAGCCGTTACCTGACCCGATTCCTGGCACCCCCTCCGTCTCACCTGGCTCCCTCCCGAGGACAGCTGCCATGCTAACCTGTAAGCTCGGCGTCTGCACAAGGCGCACGGTGGAGCTCCCAGCAGCCCGCAGATCCGGGGACACAAGCAAACCATTGAAATGCAAGTCCCAGGCCCCCAAATGCAGAGATAACCTTCAAGTCCTACGGGCTGGGCCAGCCACTTGCCAGAACTTCTGGGGCTGACGAGGCTTCCAGGGCTTAGAAGTATGAACGACCCAGGTGCCCCGTAGACCCGACGGCCCTGTCACCTGGCCCAGTGCACACACGTCCCCATGAGGACACCCTGCTCGAGGGCATGACCGCCACCTGCCAGCTCCCTGGGGCCCAACAGCAGTTCCCCAGGTGGACACTGTCTTCACTTCCCAGATGAAAACTCTAATTACACAATTTCGGCTTCCTGAAGCTGGCCGACCTGTCCGCTCCGTCGGGTCCAACAGGAACCCAGGGCTCAGTGTGTCCCTTCCCACTTCTCAGCTCCTATTCCTGTTTGTCACAACCGAGTTGGCGGCCACAGGGTGTGGTGTATTAAAGGAGTGGCCACCTAGGTGCCTTCCTCAGGCTGCCGGGTACCCTGAGGAAGCCTGGGTTCCAGTGCTACCATCGCCTGCTTGCTGCTCTCAGCTTGGGGGCAGGGGACGCATGAGGTCCAGGTCAGTCCAGACCTGGAGGGACCTCTGGGAACGTTAATGCAGGGGCAAACCAGCCACAAGCCCCACAGTGGCTGCTGGGTTGAGACCAGTGAATAGTGACACCTTGTGGCAGCACTGGGAATGGCTCCCCGAGGTCACAGGCAAGCTTGTGGCAGAGGCCAGGCACTCCGTGTGGTGGTTGGCCAGCTTCATGGATCAGACTGTAGCTGCGGACCTGGCCAAGGGCACTACAGACGATGGGCAAACCCCTGGCGGGCTCACACCTCCCCCGGCCCAGGTCTGGGGACATGAAGGGCACAAACAGACCCAAAATGCCTGGTGCAAGGCCTGCAGCCTCAGCTTAGGAAAGTCAGGCAGCCTGACCCACCAGCCAGGAACCCCCAGGCGCCCTGTGCTTCCTAGGAGGGGGAGGGGGCAACTCCTTATCCAGTGAAAATGCTGTTTAACAGCAGCAGCAGGCCTGGTACTTGGAGGTGGGGGTGACATCTGGGGAGAGGCCTTCCTGCTCTGGGTCAGGTGTGTGTGTGTGTTTGCAACCTGAGCAGCCAAGGCAGCCAAGGACGGCGCCCAGCGCAGACGTGGCTTTATGGTCAAGCGTGATGTCCCACAAGTGAGGACAGAACTTTAGAAACAGGTCCCACAGCTGCCACGGGACGAGGCGCAGAAATGCCATCTCGGTTCACCCCGCTGAGTGTGAGGTGCCATCTCCTGACGTCACTGGAGCACTGAGTGTCGGGCCGGAAGGAGGTGAGCATGTGAATGGGCCACCCCACGACGAGGGACCAATGGTGACACACACATCGTCCCCCTGAGGAGCTGCAGGACACACACACCGCGTTTCAGCGCCTGGGTTTATTCTAGTTAAGTAGGAATGACTTTCTGCTGTAACATCAAAGAAAGCGCTTGAATGTTTGGAAACTGCCGAGTATTAAATAAGCTTTTGTTTTAATTCTCAGAAACCAGAGTAAGATGAATGCTTTACAGTAATAGTGAAATAAGTACAGCTCATTTGCCATAGAAGCGGGGGCCAGTCCGGTATGAAAAAGGAACGGGTGCTGCCTTGCATGGGAGGTGCCTCCTGCAGCAGCCCCTGCGCTCGGGGAGCTCCTTGGGCTCCGTGCTCGTCCTCCTGTCCCAGCAGCCACCGCACACCTGTATCCACGGAGCCCACGGTGCCAGAGGCGCTTGTGCTAGGAGGTCAGCTTGGAGTAGCTGGGCGGGGAGAGCTTGCGCTTCAAGTACTTGAGGACGTAGAGCGGGAGGCAGCTGACCACGGTGATGGCCGACACCTTCCACAGGAAGGTCATGGTTGTGATAAAGGCAAGGTCTGTAGGGAGAAACACAGGCGAGTGTGAGAGGCGGTCAGGGAGGCCGCACACCTGCAGCGCACCCGAGTCACTCCAGACCTCAGAGGGGCCTCGCGGACTGCAGGCTTCTCTCAGGGAGAATGAATTCTCCTAACGGGAGTCATGAGAGCACAATATTAGAGAGTGTGACCTGCGCCACCCAAGGCCGGGCGGTAGCAGCCACTCGGCACCTGAGTGCTGGTCCCAGAGGAACCCCGGCAGCAGGAGGGACCCTGTGACGTGTCAGATGGCCAGGCCCACCTTCTCCTCTAGGGACAGCTGCTGGGCTGCAGGGGCAGGGACACAGCAGGCGGTGCTGTCACTGCTCACCTGTCCTTCCTGTCCCTCGGCCTCGGCCAGGGAAGCCCAGCGGTGCCCTGCACAGGCGCTGTGACAGAGCTGCAGCCTAATGGCGGGGCTGTCCGACTTTCTTATGCGAAGAGGCACATGAAAAACCAGACCTTTACAGTGTTCGCTTCTCCAAGTGGCAGAAACCCCGTGTGTTGTCAGAGGTGGGACGAGACCTCCTGATGCGTCCCTGCACCGTGGTGCTCAGTGACCTTCCACCGGGGCGGGCACATTTCCCCTCCTGCAAACCTGCACAGCCGGGTCTGGCAGGAGAGGCATGGCCCCGCGGTCCCTGAGCAGCCCTGCCCTGTGTTCTACTGCAGTGGGAACAGTCACCATCCCCAATGCCCGACGCTGAGGACAAATCGCCACCTGTGGCACGGACCACACTCCTTCTCTTCTCTTTGCCAGATTTAAACCTTAACGAGTCTCACAAGTCCTGTCAGACACATCCACCAGCTGGGGCCGCACAGGGAAACCTCTCTCAGACGCTGGCTAGAAAGGCCTGGAACTGGGAGGGTGACTGACGAGCAGCGTTTGACCAGGGTCAGGTGAGGGCGGACTGCAGTGGTGCTGTCTCGGGCAGGGGTGGAGGACTGTCATGTGCCAGCTGCCACCAGGCCTGTGCCTGTGATGGGCAGTCATTCCTGGGACCCTGAGCTCAAAAGAGAAGCATCAGAGGTCACCTGAGAGTGTGAAGATGAGGCGAGTCCGGCTGGAGAGCATGGGGACAGCCACCGCCTGACACTCGTCCAGGGTCTCAGTCACCATCAGCTCTCATCCAGCATCACGGCCCCTGGCTGGGGATGGCAGAGCTGGAAGGGTGGGGGGGAGGAGGGGGACCACTGAGTGGGAAACAGGCGCCAGTGATGCCATGCCATAGTGCTGGCGAGGGGCTGGCACGACTGTGCTGGCAGCTGGCCTGCTGGTGGGGCTGAGGCCATGAACACGGTGCCCTGTGTGTGCGAGAGGATGGGCGGGAGCTGCCAAACCACCGAGCCCTGGTGTGAAGGGGTCTCCATGTCACGGTCACTATCTAAAAGCCAAGATGGTGAATACCTTGATTTTATAAATTATAAGGAGTTTAATCTTTCCCCCAAATAAGCTTGTGTTTGAAGCTTTCTGATGTGAGTTTTACTGTGATCTTCGATTTAGACAAAGTATGAAGAAGTAATAAAAAAAATGTTTAAAAATCAAAAACAATTATCCAAAAACAATTCCAAGGCAACTTACCAAAATACTCATTTAGAAAAGCCAGAGAGGCCACGTAGCAGCCGAGGCTGAGGAACTCGGCCACGACCATCAGCCAGTGCCACGTGCGGACCGTCAGTGCCACCATCAGCAGCTCCGTGAGGATGAGGGCCGTGAACGAGATGGCCACGACGTGGACAAACTCCGACTCAAAAAGCACCAGCGCCCCGTACATGAGAATGCCGCCTGGAAGACACAAGGGCGACGAGGGTGGCTTTTACATGACGGACTTCTGCTCGGACTGGAGATCCTGTTACTATGTGAGGCGCTAGAAGGGCCATGAAGAGCTGGCTGGTGTTTCTAACAGAGACGTGGGCTACGAATGTCCCAACCTCCCACGGACGATCCTCTTAAACTCTGGCTTATGAATGAAGGGCCTGGAGAGCAGGCCTCCACCCCAGTTAGCGCAGGCCGGCCCGCGTCTCGATGCGGTAAGCCTGGCCTCCAGTAATCTCACTTTCAACCGCCTCTCATTTGTCTGGAACTACACAGGGCGGCCAGCAACCTGTGACGACTCGACTCAGATTCTCCACGTCCCGCTGTCTCTCCTGGAAAGAACCGCTGTGATAAGTGCTTGGTAAAATGTTTCTGGGTTTACATTTCATTAAAAACAGGTAAGTTTTTAGGTGGCACTCATCGGTTAGAAAATGCTGCACAGTGAAGGGCCTGGCAGACAGCTGCAGAGGGGCGATCACTAGATGGACAGGAATGTGGTTGCGGGTGGGACAGGAGACAGGCGCTGCGTCACTGCAGGAGCAGCGGGCTCTTACCTTGGTAAATGCTGATTAACACCCAGACGAGGAATGTCTTAAAGGACAAGGACCGGCCCTGGGGAAAAGGGAGAGAGCGAGTTAACCACCACGTCTCACGGGGCTCAGCCTGGTGACTCCTGCAGGCCCAGGCCCACTCAGACACGCCCCCCCCCGCCCCCCACTGCTGTGTCAGAGCTCCCATCTGTGCACTCAGGGGGAACAGGTGCGGCCTCTCTGAGCCTCTGGGACAGAAGGTCTGTCCAGGCAATTAAGCTGGGGCAGTGCTGTGGGAACTGACCGGAAGCACCTACTGAGGGGCGGTGTGTGTGTGTGCAGGGCTGGGGCAGGAACCCCGGGAACCAGCAGCTCTGACTCAGCCCGAGGGTGACTGGGAGAAGCCGGGGCTGACGTGTGTGCCACCTGGGGTGTGAGGACAAAGATGAGGATGAGGCAGAGGCAGTTGCAGAAGCGTCGCACATTCCTGAGCTTCACTCACTGTGGCTTTTGTTTCTTGTCTGCGGCTTGGTTTCTCAAAGTCCCAGTTCCTGATCCCCGAGGGCCGCGTGCAGCTCCTGTTGCTCACTGGGAGCTCTCAGGTGGGTCCCTGCTGTCACTACCCAGTGGTCCGAGCGCACCTCTTTCTGGGCATGGGTGAGGATGGGCCCCCGCACACCCACACTCGTGCACGCCCTGGTTCCTTCTGCCTGTGCCTCACCGGGCACAGTGAGCCCTTCTGTCCTTCCTTCAGCTCCGGCCTCGCCTCTCATCAGCCAGCATATGCCACCCATGTGTTCGGAGTAGTTTTCCTGCGAGACACTCACCGGCTGCAACCCAGGGCTCCTGTGAGCTCCCTGCCCCCAGCCTTGTTGCAGACTCGGTCAGACACTTTGCCAGGGACCACTGCACAGTCCTCCCCCGCCCGCCCCCGCCAGCATGGAGGTGGCTCGTCTCTCCTGGGGTGAGACGCATTTGTCACAGTCTGTGTCCCATGCATCTGTGATTCCACTTCTGTGGGTTTCGACCAACACAGCCACGACGGGCCCCAAGCCGAGCTGAGAGCTCTCTTGCCTAATGCCTTGTCAGCCCCCTCCCGCCTGAACCGGGGGCAGTCACTGACCTGCTCCCCGCCCCAGAGGGTCACATGCTGGGATCACACACTTCTGAGCCTGCCTTCTGTGTGGCCAAGCGCCCTTCAGCTTCAGCTGTGCTGTTGAGAGGGCTCCCCCTACCCTCTCACTGTCCCGTGTGTGGCAACGTCACTGGGCGAAGGACACCTGGCCGTTCCCAGGCTGAGCAATTAGGACAACGGTGCCAACAAGCTCGGTGCACAGGGTTCTGTGTGAACCCCCACGTTCTTCCTCTTGGGCTGCTGGGTTGACGGTAAGTGCACGCTTCACTTTGTAAGACACGGCCAAGCCGTGTTCCCAAGGGGCTGGGCCGCTGGCATCCCCCAGCAGTGAGAGGGGCCCCTGCTGGTGCCAACCCAAGCACGTGGTGGTGCTGGTATTCCAGGGTTTTGCATTCTCAGACTTCACGTCTCTGGTTTAATTTTAATTCCCTGTGACAGGCCCTGAGCATTTTTGTGAGCTTACTTGCGCCTGCACATCGTTGTCGTCAGCGTGGTGTCAGCTGAGGTCTCCTGTCCACTGAAGAACTGAATTCTGTTCTTTTTGAGTTTGGAGGTTCTCTGTATATCCTGGTACAAGTCCTCCGTCAGAGGTGCCATCTGCAGATACTTCCTGCCGTCTGTGTTTGTCCTTTCACTTCCTGAACAGCCATGCACAGAACAGCAGTGTTGAATGATGATCAAGTCCAATTCACCCATTTCTTCCTTTAGGAGTCATGCTCTGCCCCTCTGTCTGAAGCTCTGCCTGATCATGGTCGAGCATGTTTTCTTTTAACGGTTCAGTCTCACCTTTCACAGTCGGTCCTCATCCATCCTGAGGGCATGTCCATGGCAGGCATGGGCGCGGGGGGAGGGTCCGCTCCTGCCTGTGGGTGCCCAGTTGTGAGCACGTCGGCTGCTGACAAGACGACCCTTCCTCCTCCGTGTTTCCTTTCATGTTTGTCAAAGACCGGCTGTTGCACTTGGCTGTATTTCTGGGCTTTCAATTCCAGGCCACTCTCTCTGTCTGTCCTGTGCTGTGACTGCTGTTTCACAGAAAGTCTTCCAATCTCGTTCTTTTCCAAAACTGTTTGGTGGTTCTATTCCCTTAACTGTCCATATAAATCTTAGAATCTGCTGGTCACGATCCTTCAACATCGTGTCTTCCAGACTGTGAGCATCCATTTACACTTTCTTCAAGTTTCCTCCTCGGTGGTGTAGAGCTTTCAGCGTGTACATCCTGCATGCGTTTGCTGGTTATACAGAGTATTTCACATCTTACGCTATGACAGTGCTGTTTGTTCACCGCTAGCCACAGGTTTCCGTGGTCTTGCACCTTCTCAGACCTCCTCGTCTAAAAGGTTTGTGTGGATCACTTGAGACTTTCTACCCAGACTACTATGGCGACAGCACAGATATTTTTATTTTTTCCTTCTAATGTCCATGCCTTTAATGTCCTTTCCCCGCCCTATCACTATTATTTTAAAAATTATGTAAGGATGCAAATATGCATTTCAAAAGTTAAACCATGTTGAAAATGTTCAACAGAAAATGGAGATAGTGAAGCAGTCCTCGCTGTTCAATGTCTGATAGTTCAAAGACTTTTACCAAGGACAGTAGGTTTCACCTACATGGTGTCTTGACAATTAGCACAACTACACCCAGATGTCTCTCTGTTAGCAGTTTACTTTATCATGAATGGAAAACCATGAGCTGGGAACTGAATTCACAGCTGACGTCTGAGACACTTCTGGCTCCGCTGAGGCAGCGCTCTGGCACTGACACATCTTAGTCCTGACCCTGGGCCCAGGCGCAGGGCTTTTCACAAGAGGTCCTGGCCCTCAGGACCACAGAGCTGCCTGCAGACAGGAGCAAGGAGCACACACCGTGTCCTGCAGCACCCAGCACCTCAGCAGTGACTGCACCGAGGTATACCTAAGTATTACTGTCACGATCACATCGTTTTCTGTAGGAATGAAGATGCTGTGGTGTTGGCAAGAAGAAGCAGTCACATCTTTGTTTAATTGGTTCAAATACTGATAGAGCAGACCCTGCTTCCCCGTGCGAAGCCCCGGAGGTGGCACGGTGTGTACAGCAGCGCCGGGCATCTCGTCAGACAGTAAGCCAGACCCGAGATGCCTGGCTGCTCACCCCCAGACCAGAGACCGTTTACAAAGAGGTATAAGCAGACACTTATTTCAAAGCACAGTGCTTTCCTCCGCTTTGCCCGGAGGTGCCCTCTGCATGCCTGACCTCTGAAGGTGTTTCACGCTCTCTGTGACCCGATTTCTGCTCACAGCTTACTAGACAGATCAGTCCCTGGACAGTACGAACACCCGCCTGCTTATTCCACGTGCTGCTGCGCAGCTACCGTTTCCCTGGCCTGCACTCAGGTTTCCCTCTGGCTGCACGTGGGCTGCTGGGCCAGGAGCCACGTCTCACACGCCTTCACCAGCCCCCGCACAGCACCCTCACCACACCTGCCACAGACAGACTGACAGACGCATTGCCCAATCCCTGCCAGCACCGCATTCAGACTGGCTTGGCTGAGCGTCCAGCGTCACAAACTCTCCAGCGCCAAGAGGAGAAGCAGCTCGGTTCTCACCAAGTGAGCACGTTAATGCTACTTTGTTTTCAAAGGACGTGATGTGTATGAGATTTTTAAAGACATAGATACTATAAGGATAAGAAGCATAGGTTTGGGATCTGACAGAAAAGGAGCCTGGAGAAAAGAAGCGACTAAGCCGTTATAAAAAGATTCAGTGTCCTGACTTTAGGGTACTGAAATATTCTAAATCGCTCGTCAGCATGACAGAATGGGAAGCTAGCACCTTAGATCCAACTTAGTCAGACTTGAACAAGGTTTCCCGATGTCCCCGCATGTTTAACGCATCAGCCAATGGCATGGACTTTATAGTTGAGAGGAGTCAGTTGCTCAGCTCAGGGGCTAGTGACCCTGTGAACACGTTCTGCCACTGGAGTGACTCCCATAGCCATCGAGGGATGCTGGTGGGCACTAAGCCCTAAACACAGGAGGCCAATGTGCCTGCTGCCTCACCGCCAGTGACCACCAGGTGCAGACTGAGCTGCTGAGAATCCCACACTGACTATTGGGCAGCTGGTCTGGGCTGACCTGCAGTGACCTCAACTCCACTGAGACTCAACTGTCCATTTTCTGGGTAGGTCACCTAACTTATATTCTACATAAAAGTTTATTTCCCTGTATATCTGTGAGCAGTATGTAAGTGTCTCTGAAGGCTTGGAAACAGGGATATAATCTACTAAAATCACAATATTTGCAACAGCTTCCTGTGGGATTTGAATCTCTTATCCTATTCTATTTCACTGAATGGTAATGATTTCACCATTTCAGAAGATTAATCCAAAACCTTTTTCTTCTAGTTGTAATATTCACAATATTATCATCATGACCATAATGCTTGCTATTTTATCTTATTTTATACTATACTGATGAGCTAGCTCTATTTATGTCCTATGAGAGTAATATGGGATTTTGTACACAGATCCTCACAGCAACTCCATGAAATCAAGCTCAGCACCAATCGGACTGGACAGGGATCTGGGGCTGTAGGCCGCTGGTTTGTGCTCAGTGAGGTTCCTTCTTTGCTGCCCCATATGCCGCTGTCGCCTTAGAAACAGATGATCAACTGTAAACCTAAATTTATTTGAGGGTTAGTGGACTTTGCTCTCAGCGTTGGTTCAGGAAAAGCAAGCCTACTGGAAGATTCCAAAGTCACCATGATTTGTATTTGGATGCAGAGTGTATTTTTTGTGCTATAAAAAGATGCTTCCACAAAAAACACGGTAAGCTAAACACTTCTTCCAGGAATATTTTAACCTTAACAGCACAGTTTTAGGTAAATGAGTGAATCTTTTGCATAGTTTCAGGGGCTGGACTTTTGCTTGGCAGTATCATGGCAACCACGGCACATGGGTCTTGGGGACAGAAGCATGTCTCACACAGGTGTGATCCTGCAGCCCCCCTGCAGACAGATCCAGTGCAGGTGACTCCTGGGGTCCTAACTAACTGCTAGAATGCTGCCTGTGCCCGACAGACGGGTGCGAGGGTGCCAAGTGGAACCACAGTTGGGAAAGGAGCTCCTACAAGCCCAGGGGTGAGAGCGTCCTTAGATTAGAACTTTGCTGTGACATCAGAACGTCATCACCAATGTCTGAGAAAGCGCTGTTCTTTGCTGGTTATGTTTCCCTGTTTTGAAGTTTAACTCAAAAGAAAAATGCCAAAACCAACTAGGAGAAATAAAAAATGTCTGGAAGGACAGAGAATAGATTTAAACCTGCTGGGAACCTGCCTCACGAGGGGCACCTTTTCTCATGGCAAGTGTTCTTGTGGAACACCCAGAGTGGAGTGTCTGCGAGGAGCGGGAGGTGCTGGCCTGGCCCGTACCTTGGTGAGGTCCTTGTAGAGCTCTGGGTACAGCATGGCCATGTCCGGTTTCACATCCTGGTCCAGCACCAGTGAGAACACTGGGAACATGGTGTAGATGGTCGCGTACCTGAGAGCCCAGAGGAGAGTGAGGTCAGCAGGAGGAACGTTCCACTCGACTAGGAACACCCTCTGCAATCGGAGGCCGAAGGTTAAAAAACTGAACAGACCAAACACAAGGTGGCACTGAAACTCAATGCTCATCCCACCCACCGCCCAGCACCATGGTCTACAAGCCACACACGCACAGGTGGCAGGACCTGTTTTCCTTCCTAATTAAACATTCTGAGATCGTTGTGCACCCGAGTGCAGGGATCAGACGTAACACGGAGAGCCTGTGCCCTTTAACCAGCTGCCCCCAACGGCAGCATCTCCCAAGCTGCAGCCTAGCTCACAGCCAGAATGGGGACAGGGACACAGTGCAGACATGGGCATTCTGCACCCAGGGCTTCCTGCCACCGCTTCCCTTCCAGGCCCCTCAGCCCCTGGCCACCACCAATCTGTTCACTTCAAGGTGCACACACGTGTCACACAGCAGGTAGCCTGTGGGGTGGCACTATCACTCGGCCTGATTCCCTGCAGAGATGTAGGGTTGCTGTACCAACACTTCCCTCCTTTTGCTTGTCTGTGGTTGTGGACTTAGCAGTCTCTGTGACCTGACCATTCATTGAAGTACATCCCGGTCATTCCAGTTTCTGGTTATCACAACTAGAACTGCCATAAACATTTAGCGCACAGATTTTTTTGTAAAAATAAGTTTTCATTTATTTTGGACTCGTGGTGCGTAATTTTTGTAAGAACCTGCCGCAGAGTGCTCCAGTGTGGCTGTCCATTTCACGTTCCCACCAGCGGTGTGGGAGGATGGTTTCTCCACATTCTCTCCGTGGCTGGCACTGCCACAATGGTCCCAGCCGCTCGGAGGATGATCAGTGGTGTCTCACTGTGCTTTAAGTCTGCTTCCCCATGGGCACTGCCCCTGAGCAGCTCTGCACCTGCTCTGGGAGGACTGCTGTTCACGTTGGGTCCACCTTGAGTTGAGTGGGACTGTCCTGGGCTGTGGAGTCCTGCGAGGTAGTTATAAGCTCCTTGGCACGTGGCAGCATACATTCCTGCAGTCCCAGAGCCGCCTTCCCTGCATGCAGCTCCAGGTGTCTCCTGCCGGGACACCGCTGTCGCTGAACTGTTCCTCCCAGGGGCGTCTTCTCTTTGCCTGCTATAAGGTGTTTGCCTTCAGTTTTCATGAGTTTGATGATGTGACTTGGTGGATTTCTTTGGATTGAGGCTGCTTGGTGTTTGCTTACCTTCTTGAATCTATAGGTTTGTCTTTTGTGAAATTTGGAAGTTTCTGGCCATTATTTCCTAGAGTCCTTTTTTGACCCTGCCCTCTGTCCTCTTCCTGAGACAACAGGGACAGGCATGGGAGATCTGTGTTGCCTGTGGCCGGAGGAAATGTAGTGACCATGTTCGCTCCGTGCTGACTGCTGCAGGAGAAGTGGCCAGGAGGGCCGTGTGCGTCACCTGTCTGAGCTGTCCCGCTGTGCCTCCTACCAGCCCTGTGGCCTTGAGTGGATTCTGGGCTCGCTGGGTCTCTGCTGTCACCCAGGACGTGGGAATGCTGCAGGCAGGGGATGGCTTCAGAACAGGTGGGAGCCCGTGTGCTCACTGCTGCTGCTGTGGGAAAGCCCGGCCCGTGAGTGGTGGGGTCTGCAGTGGCCAGGGAGGAGGTGTTGGGAGAGAGTGAAAGAAGAGGCTATGGAAGGACCCTTGGTCCTGGGACGGTGATGGGCTGTTGTTCCCCCTCTTAATGATGCACAGGATGCTTTCAAACATCTTGGATCTGACATATTCCTGACATATATTATGGCTTTGCCGTGAAAACAGAAATTCTAATTTAATGGTAAAATTGCAAGAGGGACAGGAAGCGGGTGTCATCCCTACATTCACACAAGCAGAGGCTGGCTGCTACTTCAGCAACACCACGTAAACACTGACTGTGCACGGCCACTCAGACACCTGCTGTGTGGGCTTCTCCTTCCTACCACTTACCCCACCATGAGGAACCCCTGGTACAGGGGGACGGACGCGAAGTAGCAGACGGAGGAGAACACAGCCTTGGAGAGAGGAAAGGACAGCAGTTACTCACAGGCCCTCCCGACACTCCCTACCTCTCCAAGCCACCTGTGGCGCCCACGCACCTGCATGGTGGAGATGATGAGGCCCCTGTGCATGACGAACTGGCCGAGTGCCGCAGACCTCTTGTAGCTGCTCCGCCCGTGCACCATGAGCAGCCGGCCAATGTGCTTGAATTGCGTGATGGAGAAGTCAGCTGCCAGTGAGGCTGCCTTTCCCTCCTGCAATGTAAAGGCGCCTCACAACCTGTACGGCAAATCTGTGCTCCGGGGCGCATGTGCAGAGCTCCACTACGAGAGCACTGAGACCCCCTGCCCCACTATGAGGGGTGGCCTCTGGGGAAGGTGACAGGGCTGCAGGGACAGCTCCTGGGAGGGGCAGACAACACACCACTGGGAGCTGATGACAGGAAAGGGGCACTGGCTAAGGAGCCAGGACCATTCCTTTGGCATCTGTCAGAATCACAGAAATTCAGCAGAGGCGGAACATGGCAGTGCTGCCCAGGAGATGGGCCCAGGGATCTCGGGAACCTTCAGGATGACTGTCTAAGCCTCAGTTCTCTCGCATTTAAACGCCACCCACCTGCCATCTCACAAAGCCCCTGAGTGTAAGTGAGGGAAGCCCTTAAATGCTCTGCCGACACACAGCTGTCAGCACAGGAGCGGAGAGCCAGGGAAAAGTTGGACTGCAACCTGCTTCGTTTGCAGGCCTTTCTGGGGTGTCGTTATATGAACATAAAAGACAAACCCCAAACCACAGCACACAGTTGGCCAGGAGACATGGACATTGAAAATGACCATGTGTTAAGCCCAAGAGAGAAGCTGCAGGTCCCATGGCAGCCAAGAAGGTTTGCTGCAGGATGTGGTGACATCTATGGGGAGGGCCCGGCACAGAGCAGGCTCGCAAGCAGGTGCTGACTGAATGCATGCTCGAGACGCTGCTGTGAGAGGACAAGCGTACCTTCCCCTCAATCCCAATCCCACAGTCTGCGGCCTGGATCATGCTCACGTCGTTTCCACCGTCACCTGGGTAGCACAAACACAAGATGAAATAAAAAAAACCTATCCCTAGCCCTGTTTTCCTCTTTTATCAGCAGAAGCTGTAGAAACTTCTCACATTAAAACAAACTGGTATTGGAGGTTGAACAGAACTTTGCCTGTAAATATTAAGATACCAGTTTCTCTTAAGTTACTCTACAGGGACTGTGGGGGGTGTGGCCCCAGGTACGGTGTGGGGAGGGGAGGGCAGGGGCTCACCAATGGCGCAGGTGCGCTTGCGCGTGTGCTGCTGCAGGAGTTTCACAATGTGAGCCTTCTGGGTGGGTGAGCAGCGGCAGCACACCACAGCCGGGCACTGGCAGGCCAGCTCCACAAGTTCATGCTCATAGTACCGCAGGCACACCTGGAACACAGATCCGGTCACTGACCCCGCTATGGCGGCCAATCCAAGCATGCAGGGTCTCCCCCACTTCCCGGTGGGTGAGGAGCCACAGGCACTGCACAGAACTTCTTTAGGCTCTACCTGCTCACAAACACATCCACCAGGCTACAACGGGACTACTTAACAAGTCACAGAGATGCGCAAAAGCAGCCTGAGGTACATATCTGACTCAGAAAGCCTTTAGTCCACTAGCGGGAAAAGCAGACACACTCTGGGCCAGAGATACGGACAGGTGGGCAGACAGATGGCCATGTGCTGGGCTAGGGACCAGCCTCACCTCCAGGGAGTCCCCAGATATGACCAGCGCACAGTCATGCTTCCTTCGAAAGGCATTCAGCTCCAAATGGGCCTCTCCTCGACTGGCTACCTGCAGAAAGGGGAGAGGGCACCCCAAGTATAGTTGTTGAAACCAGAGGCACCAACAAGTGCTTATTTACGAGCCACACTGACATCGTTAGACACATGATCTAGAACCCAAAGTGCCTCCCACATGGAGTCCTATAAAGAACAGCTCTTTCAAACCTCTCCTGCAGTGCTGGGAACACACACCTCCTTATCTAACACTGATTATTTTCCGACACATGGAAAAGTGCAGAAAAAACATTGTAGTTACAATAAAACACAGCGGACAGAAGAAGCTGGCTTGTCCAGAAATGGGTAACAGGCACTTAGGAGCTAACGACTGCCTTGCCTTCTGTCACGACAGTCCCACAGGATGCCACGGTAACCACTGATTAAGTCTGTGGTACGTCCATACAATGATACTCCAGTACAGCAACAGAGGAGCCCAGGGAGCCGAGCTCCACACAGGTGACCCAAGGTCAAGGTCTGATTGAAAGACGCCTCTTTTCCTAATACGCCACTGGTGCAAATGCTTTCCTAAAGTCACTTGTCTGTGTCACAGCTTTCAACTTATTCTATTAGTTCACGCCAACAAATACATGAAAGATGAAATGATTTAAAAGATTAAAATCAAGTCATAATGTTGAAATGTCATTAATTTTAGAAGGAAAACATTTCAGAAACCAACACACTGGTTTTTGATATTCTTTCTGTGGAGATTTTATGGGGCATAAAAGAAATGATATATTACAGGACTGAAATAAATTAAAAGTTTCATGCAGTACAAATTAATCTCAGACTCATCTTTAAATAGGTAGGTTTTATTGTGGAAATTTTAATTTGTGGTGCTATAACACAGAAAAGTCAACAAAAATTGATCTGACGTTTTACCAGAATCATTAATAATTTAATTGCAAATAGTCGACTGCAGGGCCTAATTTGCGATTCTGATGTTTTGAAATAAACTACATTTACATGTAAATGATATTCAAATAACTATTTCTGTAGGTACAAGCGCTGCATTTAAAACAGATGCAGACACACAGTGTCTGTTCACCCACCATCAATCAAGACCCAAGAAACTTTTATTTTTTGTTTGAATTAAATTAAAAATAACTAATATATACAGTAAACACATAAATTTAGCTCATCTCTATTAACTTTCTTTGAGCTAATTAAGGAAGAGCATTTGCTCGGGGAAGGGGGCAGATTAGACACATCCCAACTCTGTAGTAGCGTTTGTCCCACAAAGGCAGCTCTGCACCACGTGTGACACGTGTAACCAAGGAAGATGTAATTTGTATCAATATACACCTCCACAGATGAACAGCATGTCTAACTTAAAGCAGATATTTAGTTGTATAAATAATTCTAATAGAACAACAGAAAAGTACTTGTAAACTTGGAACTTGTTTCTATCAAAAAGCAGCTTTTGATCACAGTTAATGTACTAATATAAATCTATCTTAATGTTTTTATAAATTGAGTAAGAAAATTGCAGTATTTCTCTTTTAAAACTGATATTCAATAAATAATAAGTAACGGCATGTACATTCCCACAGAATCAACAGGTTTTAATTGTGAGATACAACATTTAAAATTCAAAGTGATTTCGACACAGACTTACAGGTCTGAAGACGTGAATGTCTTGCGCTCTCGACACCAAGTGTGAGCTCTTGGCGATGCACGTGGCTGTCTCGAGTTTATCGCCTGTTAGCATCCATATCTAGGAAACAGTTTACCCTGGTGAACTTCATCATTACACTTCGTCTCTTTAAAGTGTCTCTCGTTGCAGGATATTTGCACCCCATGTTCACAGCATCACTATTCACAATATCTGAATGTGGAGGCAACCCAAGTGTCCCTTGAGGATGAATGGGTGAGCAAGGTGTGGCACATCCACAAGGCGACATGGATGAACCCCGAGGATGCTGTGCTGAGTGAAATGAGCCAGCCACAAAGAGCAAATGCTGTCTGATTCCACTGGTATGCGGTCCCTGGAGTGGTCAGATTTGTAGGGACAGGAAGTAGATAGTGGGTGCCAGGGGCGGGGGGCAGGGGATGGGAGCTGGGTTTTGAGGAGAGAGTGTCAGATTCACAAGATGAAGTTCTGGAGTGCTGTGGTGGCTGCACAACAATGTGAATGCACTTAGTGCCAGTGAGCTGTGCACCTAACAATGGGAAAAACTTCACATTTTCCACAACAACAAGTCTTTTTGACTTGCTTCACTAAAACAATTGGCAGCAAAGTGATTTTAGGCTCAGAGCTGAGATCTGGAGGCACACGAATGAAAGGGTTTAGAAATCATATGGCTGAGGCTGATGAGGACACAGTACATGTCAAAAGGCAGCATTCACACAACCTCACATGCCACACAAACAGGCCTGGGGCACCACACGGTCATTGGCCATGAACTAGGAGGATCCTGAAGACCCTGTTCCAGCTGGCTGGTATACAGCTGGAAAATGAGGTTCGAAATGGGCAAATAGGTGCAATTAAGCTGAAAGTTCTAGCAAATAAAACATGTTAGCCCGGCTGGTGTGGCTCAGTGGGTGAGTGCCAACCTAAGAACCTGGTCAGGGAACATACCCAGGTTGCGGGCTCGATTCCCCAGTGTGAGGTGTGCAAGAGGCAGCTTATCAGTGATTCTCTCTCATCATTGATGTTTCTATCTCCCTCTCCCTCTCCCTTCCTCTCTGAAATCAATAAAAATGTATTTTAAAAAACACATGTTAAATCATACTACTTTTACTTTAAATCCCACACACATGCACATATTATGTATATAAATATCCCTAGAGTAAAAAGAGAGAAAACCAGGACATTAAATGTATTACCAAGTAGTCTCTCTATACATTTTATCACAGCAAAAACTTCCAGTGACCTCTCATCATCTGGACTGTTCAGGTGTCTCATGCGTCACATGTAAACATGCATTTTTGGAAGCAGGACACAGAAAAGTCATATGTGCTCTGGATTCTTTGGGTGCCACGCATTTTGGCTCTTCTCAGTGTCTGAGGATTTGTGCTTTTTATCTCACGTTTGTGTTCACTTTACTGAGCCTGGGCCCGAGACCCTGACACGCTGTGACGACTAAGTTGGGAATCACAGAGGACAAGAGAGGCCACGCCAAGGCCCACGAGCAGCTTGGGCGAGCTGACTGGCTGGAGCAGCACCTTGGGTTTCAAGGGACAGCTGAAATCAGGTCCCCACATCTGTGAGGGGGTTTCCTTCAATCGGAAATGTAAGAAAAAAGAGAACCCCAGAAAGTCTTATTGAGTTTAGTGAGGAGTTGATATAAGTACCTAGATCTTTACATGGAGCACTGATAATCTAGCATGGACAGATAAGGAACAGAAAAACAAGCAGGGCATCTACTTGTCATAATCACATCTCTTGCCCCAACAGTCAGATCCAGATCATTTGCACGTCTGAGTCTGAGTGGCTCTCGTGACTGAACTCCCTCCTGACCCGCTGGGGCGTCGGTCCCCGTGCAGGGCTCACTGACACTGCTCTCTGCACACCACCGACCTGCTCCATGCGCCAAGTCCAACAGGAGTTGGTGCACTGCTGCCTCCGACCCCTCCACTGTCTCCCCGTCCAGCTACCCAACAGCCTCTCTTCTAAAAGCAGCCGGGCTCCTTTCTTTCACATAGTGGAGGCCCCACCCCGAGGCGCCCACCATTCTGTAACTGAGCCTCTGCCTCATGGGGAGCGCAAGGTGAGAAAGCACCTTCCTGGAAACTAAGCCTCACCCCAGGAGGAGCTAATGTCGTGTGTGCGCAGAGAGGGCACATCGGCCAGGAAGAGAAGGCAGCACAGGGGTCACGCAGTCGCAGGGAAACTGCGCTCTGCTCCAGGTGCCGTACCTTGATTCCCGCGTTGCGCAGCATCTCCAGGGTAGGCCGCACGTCTGCCTGCAGCCGGTCCTCCACCCCCGTCAGGCACAGCAGCTGCATCTCCCGCTCCAGGCTCTCCACCACCGCAGCCACCTTCAGCGCCCGGTCATGCACACTCAGCTTCGCCTGCATATAGCGGCTCTGAGGACAGAGATGGGCTGTGCTATTTATATTTATTATCATTTAGGACTTGCTGAATACATGGAAACTTGCAACACAAAAGAAATCCTCACTTCTCACTCCCAGCGGACTGCAGAAGAGGGTGGGGCCATGACAGGGTGGGGGACTAAGTCCTGATGCTCCCAGCTATGGCCACACGACCTCACAATGTCCCACGAGCAATATGAACTCATTTTCACAGTAGCACCAGAGCCCACAAGGGATGGGATGTCCGTGAGGGTGGAGAGAGACCATCTGCTCACCTCAAAGTCCTGGTACTGCTCCTCTGTGAGCGCCCTCTTCGCGACCACGAGGGTGCGCAGACCTTCGCGGGCCATGTTTCCACACTGGAAAGGAAGAGGCAGGCTACTGTGCTGTCACCACCCACTCCGCATTTTTATCTCTGGCTCCTAGTTACTGTGTCCAGTGGCAGCAGGGCTGGAGCTGGAGCGGCAGGCTCAGACAGTTCCAGTCTACATCCTTGCCAGACAGGTGGGTACAGTACTTAACAGCTGTGTCCTCAGGGACTGCTGCCATGCCGTCCCCCACCCCATGATGGCCCTGCTCTTCCTGACCTCTGAGAACAAGCAGTGCACGCACACAGTGGGGCTGGTGTCACAGTGCAGCTCCCGGATGACAAGCATATTCTTTCCCACCTCAAACCAGACTTGTCAGAAACGGCACCACAAACCCTGAAACCATACTGCTCTCCGTGCTGGCCCCCGCTGCATGGGTAACATAGGGAGATCAATGCTTGAGGCCAGGGGAGGAGGGGAGGCCTGGAAATAGGAAGACCCTACGGGACAGTGTGGTGAGAAGTAAGAAGTACTGCAGAGTAATGTGTTTTTATGAAAAATAAAGTTTAAGCCACGATGTGATGAACACTAAGCTATTCCATTCTAAACAACCTATTTGAAGCTCACCTGTCAAGACACCAAGAGTAATAGCCCAGGCTTATCCAGGCCACTCGGCTCCTGGACCACCTGCTACGGGCTGCCTAAGGCCCTTCCCCTCTGCAATGACTGCCTTTCAACTTTCAGTCTTTGACAATATTTTGAAAGCTCCAAACTCCAGCTGTTCAGCCTGTTTTGGGCACTTGTGGTTTACAGAGATCATGGTGATCGCTCCTGGGTCTGCTGGTGCCCCCACTGTGGTGGACTTTTGGGCAAGGGGCTGGCAAAGGCAGTATCAGGAGCAGGGTCTTTTCAAAACACTCTGAGCAAATACCAGGGGACAGGACTCTAGTCACAGCTAAAGAACAACTAATCAAAAGTGTCTCAGTGTACATAAACAACGTAAAGCTGACAATGTGATGATGTTTAAGCAAATACATCGCCAACAAATGAACCAGCTATTTTTTTAATGAAAGAAAGTCAAACACTAGTGATGGGTATGCACTGTTAGAACTGATACTGTTAGCATCTGTTCAGCATGAAGGGGAGAGGAAGGTGTCCTCTTTGCAGCTCCCACAGGGAGGCTGGCTCTGCATCCCAGCCACCGAGGGGACTGTGATTTTGACTGTCTGACCTTCTGTGCATCGAAATTAGAGACATGAGTGGAAATTCCACATCGCCCAGGGACAAGCACGCAGCCTTGCTGATAAACCATGCAGACATGACTTCCCAAGCTCGCTCGCCCTGCCAGCCTTGTGCAGAGGCCCTGTCATTGCCTACTGTCCCTTCAGGGCAAAGCTAATGTTTCTAGATAACGTCACCTCTCTCTATAGGAGGTTCATCTCCAGCAAAGCTCATTTACTACATCTGATGCTAAAATCTGTAGGCATATACAAAACCTGAGCCATTCGGGTTTGCTGAAGCTCCTTGTCAGTTCACTGGGTAGACTAGTCTGATGCTCACAATCACACACACAGCTGCAGACATGACAGGAAGAGCTGATGGAAGGTCCCGGCTGGGGACAGGGACCCCAGGGGATGGCAGTATGCTCTTCACTGTGCCCTCATACTCCCCTGTTCCCCAACTCTAACTCCTGTTCACCCCTAACATCAGGTCTGGGGGTGAACGGCAAGCCTGCCTTCGAGGGAAGGCGGCCACTGTTAGCTGCTACATCCAGGACCTGGTTCAGGAGTTTATGCAGACTCACGCCGTAGGGTTGATAAAATCGGCTCCTTCTGTCACATGACGAGTGAAAAGTATTGGTAGTTTTTTTGTTTTGTTGTTTTTTAATATTTGCAGAACACAAGTTTATAGTCAAGAATCCAACCTGGAGGCTTGTCTGAGACAGAGGAGCCCAACTAGCCCACAGGGACTCAGGCTCCTAGAGCCTGCTGGTCTCCCCCATGAAAGGCCTTCAGACTACGGCAGCATCACTACCAAGACATGGGCAGAGGTCAAAGATTCAACTAAGGGAAGAACTGCAATGTTGAGGAAATAAATGTACAAAGGATTGTTAATAAAGTTATCTTTGTGAAAGACAATCTGACATTATGTGTCTGGTGCAAGACATTTATTGATTTGACCTCATAAAGCTAAATAAATTAAACAAGTATTTTATAATTAATTGCACATCATTATGACCAAAAGTAATTTTTATGGCATTTTACTAGGTCTTCAGGGAGTTTAATTTATTCATGTTCCTGATTAAATCCCAGTGCCCGAGGAGCTATTGATTCATATTGCCAATACCTCTGTGGAGGGTGTGGCCCTCACTGACAGACTGTCTCCTGTCCACGGTGGGGAGATATTAGCACAACAGCAATGTGCACATGCTAAAAGGCTGGTGTTTGTAACTGCAGGGCTTTAGTTTCACTTTCAAATTCAGCTTCTTATTAATACATAAGTGTAAACAACAAATACTATAACCTCATGAGGCTAAAAATAAGCCATATTTCTTTAGGGAGAATTTGATGCAGTAGAGCATTGGTTATGTTTGTATCTTACTTTCTATTTTTAAAGTGAATCCTATGTACAAATTAGAACTAGACTTAAATTCTAATTAAATCTCCTTGCAAATAATTTAGGTTAAAAAATGAGTATATTAAATTGGCTATGTGTATATAGTTATTTCAGAATTTTCTGCTTTTTCACTAATCCAAACAAAATACTCTTCACAGGACCTACAGAAGGTATGTGTGTATGACATACCTTCACGCAAAACCCAGCACAGAAGTTGTGCACAAAGAGAGGAAGCTGCTCATCACTAAACAACCTTGTGGAACTGAGCTGGTGTCACCTGAGGTAATCCAGTGGGAAACATTATCCTGCAAAATATTGTGTTGGGTTTGAAACCTGGCGTCTCAATTTATTCCCAGATGCCAGGTCTACCAGCTGGGACAGGACACTGGTTTTCTGTCTGCTCGCTTATCTGTGAACATGTTCCCATGAGAGAGCGCCAGTTACCTCCTCCTCCAGCCAGTCGTTATACTGGACGATGGTGGACATGACAGCATCAGCACCTTTCATGTAGAAGGTGATTTCTGCCGTGGACTCATCCTGCAAGAAAGGAAAATAAACAGGTATGTTCAGACCAATGCTGCTCCTCAAATGACAGCAGCTCTAACAGGCTCAGAGCAGTGTCTCCATGCAGATGCCCGGTGCTGCACTGCTCGAACCTCTTTCTACACAGGCTACATGCCCCAATGCTCGGGCACCAAGATCGAGAACACAGCTGCAGATCTCGAGTCACTGTGCGGTGCTCAGAATAAAATTAGTTATTGGACATATGCCTTGGACTGCAAGGTAAATATGAATTCTCTCAACTTTTCATGGTTTGATTGAATGAATAAGCTTCCTTGTATAGCCAATTTCCAATATATAGTTTTGGCATTTGTTAAAAATTTAATGGGGGTGTTTTGCAGCAACTTTATGGTTATAAATCATTCTTAAAGTCTTCGGCATGCTCCTGCTGTTGAAAACAAAACAGAACGAGGAAATGACCTTTCACTAGCTCTGCCTCAGTTGTCTCAGGAGAGCTATCTGAAGTCCCCCCCTTCGCAGTGTCAATTATTGTGGGGCGAGCACGCCTACCCTGACGATGATGCCCATGCGCTTGCCCTCCGACGTGAAGGGGAACATCTGCAGGACGCAGTAGGTCAGGATCTGGCCGCCGGGCGTCCTCAACTGCATGGATGTGAGGTCTCTGTTGACCAGGGTGAGGCCAACGCTCTCCGTCCACTGCACCAGAGCCACCTGGGGGAGACCAGTGACAGGTGAGGCTACTGGCTTCCTGGGAAGGGAAGCAAGAGGCTGGCGGTCAGAAAGCTTGGCCTTACACAGCTCACTGTGCTGAGAACTTGTGTATCTTTGTGGCTGTGTCAGTGTTCATTTTTAATAACATCTCCTCAGGCCAACAATAGCAGGATGACAGAGCCCTTGGTCTTGCTTTCTGAAACAGAGGCCACAGCTGAGTGTGCTCTGGTTTACTAGCTGCCCAGAGGCAGTGTTTAGTGGGCACACATGGTGGGCTGGAGGGCTCAGTGGTAGGCAGGCACTCACTATTGGCTTTCCAAACTTCTTTCTGATTCCAGGAGCCTATGAGACAGAGAACCATTCAACTCTCTGTTTATCTGACCTTTTCCTAAAATAAGAGGTAATTCTAGCTGGCATAGCTCAGTGGTTGAACGTCAACCTATGAACCAAGAGGTCGTGGTTTGATTCCCAGTCAGGGCACATGCCTGAGTTTCGGGCTCAATTCCCAGTTTGGGCCGTGCAGGAGACAGCCAATCAAGGATTCTCTCTCATCATTGATGTTTCTGTCTCTCTCTCTCCCTTCCTCTCTGGAATCAATAAAAATATATTTTTAAAAAAAGGCATAAGGGAGTAGACACTCAAACAACCTTCTCACCCGGTTCCTCACCTGAACCCCAGAAACAGAAGAAACTGAGGTGCCATTTCCCACTGCCCAGGAGGACACACAGCAGGTCCCGTCCTAGGTGCACAGAGTGAAGTCGCTTCCCAGCACAGGCGATGCCTTAGAGCCATGGTTGGCAAACTGCGGCTCGCGAGCCACATGCGGCTCTTTGGCCCCTTGAGTGTGGCTCTTCCTAAGCCTTAGGAGCCATGTCTCCAGCAGAGAGAAGGATGGGGAGGCCCTTCCACTAGTCTGTCCTCCACCACGGCCTTCCCCTCCCTGCGAATCCCTTCTCTGTCCCACCACCTGTCGCTGCTTCCTGTGCAGTGTGCCCATTTCTCCTCAGCCCCAATTTATCCTTTAAAAATACATTTCATTTTAATGAATAAAAGCATAGTTGGCTGACATAAATCTAGGACAGCAAAACGTTACACATTAGATTGCCAGCTAATGAGCCTTGACTGTATCGGATTGTGATTATTTGCCCTGAGCAGCACTCTCACTTCAGTCTTGCTGTCCTGCCGATGGCGGAGGCAGCATCCACCGTCACCCTGTGCTGCAGAGAGGGCATCTTTGTAGACTCGGGGCCGGGGGGTCCAGTCTCTGAGCACAGCCCAGAGGTCAGCGCTGGGAGAGTTACGTTGTCGGGAAAGGTTCTGACCTGGAGCCTTTCCTGCTATTTGCCTTGACCATCTCTGTCTGTGGTGGTATGAAGATAAGAGTTGTTCTTGTTCTAGCTGGTTCAGCTCAGTGGAGAGAGTGGAAGGGAGGGGGAGAGACAGAGAGAGAAACATAGATGTGAGACATCAATTGGTTGCCTCCCATACAAGCGCTAACCAGGGCCATCGGATTGAGCCTGCTGCCAAGGTACAAGGTACGTGCCCTTGACCAGAATCGAACCCAGGAACCTTCAGTCCGCAGGCCAATGCTTTATCCACTGAGCCAAACTGGCTATGGCTCTTCTAATGTTTTTACGTGGATGCCAAGTTTGCATATTTCATTGCTTCTTCCTGATGCATACAATCTCTGGCTTATCTTTCAAGGCACTCCCTAATACGTCAGCTGCTGAGATGGAGTTTCTGTCTCCTGTCACCGCTGTGCTGCTGGCAGAGTCAGGGAGGTGGTGCCTGAGCTAGAGCTGTTCAGTGACTGTTTTCATCTTGGCTTCTCCTGACCATGGCTTCTCTAAGGTCATCCTTTTCTATATTGGGTCAGACTGCATACTCTGTGTGGTGGCTTATAACAGGAGCGGGCTTTGGCTTAGAATTTATCTCAGGAGCAGTTAATATTCTGCTGCTTTTTGAATTTCCCAACTGTGCGGCCCTCATGGTCAGGAGGTAGGGACAGAGGGGGATGTGTGTCTTTTCCTGTTCCCTTTGGATGCTGTCAGTGATGGCATGGGCCTCCCAAGAATGTGCCCTCCTTCCATCATCGAGTCCTAGAGAGTTGGGGAGATTTCCCCAGTGCTTAGGTCTGGGTTCTGTTTAAGAGAGTTTCCAATGCTGTTGCTTGATTTTCTCTCTCCAGGAATTTTTGTCAGTATTTGAATGAAACATGCAGAGAGTGGTTTATCCAATACTTGTGTGCTGCCATGTTCATGTGGAAGGTTCTGCTTGACATTATAATAGGACATAATCCTGAGATATTTTTCTCTGAAATGTAAAGGTAACTTAGAGCATAAAGGTTTAATCTATTTGAAATGACTGTTTCACAAGAGCTTTTGGAAATATCTAATGATGTGATTATTGACAATAATATAAAGGTAAAAATAATTAAAATGTGATGTAAAAATATATGTAAGTGGGAGCCTGAGCTAAGTCTCATCCATAGGCACTGAGTAACACACTCAGGAAGTTTATTTACACATTTATGTGTCTTCATTCTTAGTAACCAGTATGGAAGGTAGTTCCAAGAGTTGTGAAATGAGAGGAAACAGAACATGGGGTGGGAGCTACAATTTCATATTAAAAAGTTTCTGTGCTGTCATTCTTTTATTGTGTGTGTGTTTATTTTTTAAAATAAATCTTTATTGTTGAAACTATTACATATGTCCCCTTTCCCCCCACATTGCCCTCTCCCCCCAAGCCTTCACCACCCACTGTCTGTGTCCTTGGGTTATGCATATACACATATGAGTTCATTGGTTGATCTCCCCCCGCCCCCCCCCCTCCCCCCCGCCGTCTCTCTGAGGTTTGACAGTCTGTTCAATGTTTCTATGACTCTGGGTCTATTTTTGTTCATCAGTTTATGTTGGTCATTATATTCTACATATGAGTGAGATCAGGTGATACTTATCTTTCTCTGACTGGCTTATTTTGCTTAGTATAATGCTCCCTAGGTCTATCCATGCTGTTGTAAATGGTAAGAGTTGTTTCTTTTTTACAGCTGCATAGTATTCCATTGCGTAGATGTACCACAGGTTTTTAATCCACTCATCTGCTGATGGGCACTTAGGCTGTTTACAAATCTTAGCTATTGTAAATTGTGCTGCTATGAACACAGGGGTGCATATGTTCTTTCTAATTGGTGTTTCTAGTTTCTTGGGATATATTCCTAGAAGTGGGATCACTGGATCAAATAGCAGTTCCATTTTTAATTTTTTGAGGAAACTCCAAACTGTTTTCCACAGAGGCTGCACCAGTCTGCATTCCCACCAGCAGTTCATGAGAGTTCCCTTTTCTCCACATCCTCGCCAACACTTGTCATTTGTTGATTTGTTGATGATAGCCATTCTTACAGGTGTGAGGTGGTACCTCATTGTTGTTTTGATTTGCATCTCTCGGATGATCAGTGACATTGAGTACTATTTCATGCCTTTTGGCCTTCTGTGTGTCCACTTTGGAGAAGTGTCTATTGAGGTCCTTTGCCCATTTTTTTTTTTAAAATATATTTTATTGATTTTTTTACAGATCGGAAGGGAGAGAGATAGAGAGTTAGAAACATCGATGAGAGAGAAACATCGATCAGCTGCCTCCTGCACATCTCCCACTGGGGATATGCCCGCAACCAAGGTACATGCCCTTGACCGGAATCTATTTCATGCCTTTTGGCCTTCTGTGTGTCCACTTTGGAGAAGTGTCTATTGATGTCCTTTGCCCATTTTTTAATTGGGTTGTTTATCTTCCTTTTGGTAGGTTGTATGAGTTGTGCTGTCATTCTTTAACAGCCTGGGAGAATGTCCTTTATCATCTTGGCAATTACACAGGCATAGCTGCCAGCAATCCTCCAGGGTAGTTTTTACCACACACTTATCAATCATAATCTGTGCTAGTACCATCATTGTTATAATAACAGAATTATGAACATAAACTGCAATCTGATTGCTTGGAAAGACTGCCAATCAATACTCATGGCTGGCCAAGGAGTCGGCATTCTCTTCTGCTCCTGAGGGTCACAGGAGGGCTGACGTCACTGACAAGGACCTGCTCCCCACAGACATGCTGACACAAGTGCACAATCAGTCCTCTGCTTCGACAGGCACTGCAATAACATGGATTAAACTGAAGCACGACGCATATGTTAGAGCTTACTTCGCTCAATTCAAAAGCAATGCTGTTAATGACATAACGTTCTTGTGTTTTTAGGTTTGTCCTAAATTTTAGCTGATTCTTCACTAACCACCCAGTAAAGATTTATCTACCCCTGAAATGATATCTGAATGTAGAAACTATCTGTGATAAAGGGTGTAGCCCCGGGGGAAGTGTGTTACTACCAAATAGCAGGTGTACAGGGTCCGCAGCCACAAGAAACACGCCCAATCACCTTTCTGGGCCAAAAGAGGGTAGATGTTGTCAAGGTTTGTGTCATGCTGTCCCTGATCACCTGAGCTGGCGCCCATCTGCCTGCTGGCCATGTCCACTTAGGCCTGTTCCTGACACTAGCTAAGTGTCACCATTCAGCACCTAGCAGATACAACCCTGAAGAGGGTTGGCTTTAACTCTGTTCAGGAATTCCCAGGGAACTTTTCATGTCTGCTAAGCTGGAGTTTGCTATGCGGAAGCTGTGGACACAAAGTGACAGGCAAGGAACTTCCTCTTCCCAGAGAAAATGAACTATTGATCACTCACCATAAGAAACAACAACCAGGTGTAAGCAGGCTCCACACTGGGACCTGACAGAACACCCCACCACTTGCCATATCTGAAAGTATCACTAAAAATACCAGGACAACACACACTTCATTACTACACATACTTCATGACTATGCCTCATAGAACCTTAATGATTTACGATGAATGCGCCCAGAGCTCCATTATTAGCCCTTTGCACTCCGCTGTCCCCTCTCAGGGGACATCGGAATTCTAGCATATCACTCGGATGTCCCCTCTCAGGGGACATTGCAGTTTATTAGTGATTACGGGGAATTGAGTTATTTCAACGCAACTTTTTGAGACATGCATGTTTCCCTGAAGTTTTATCTTGAAATGGCACAAGAAATTAAATCAAAATATCGTAAAATTACTAAGATATATACAAGAAATGTCAGCGGGTTTTGTGTCGGATTAAACAATAAACTACATATTCCCGATGTGGGACAAAGAAAACGGGACTGCATTGTGTGTTCTAACAGGAAAACACCTGGTGGCAGGCGTCAAACCACTTATTACTGTCAAACATGCACTAATCAGCCTGCAATGCATATTGGGGAGTGTTACAAAACTAATCATACTGTACAAAATTATAAACAATAAAATATTGTTTTTTTTTGCAAATATACATTCCTCGATGTCACCCAATTCATATAAGTCCAATATCATTATAATACGTTACTTGGTTCCAAAATTATACTAAATAATACGAGGGTCTGTAAATGCACGTTTCCGCCGCAAAGTAGCGTCGAGTAGCTGGTAGCCAATGTCCAGAATGGTTCGGAGTGCAAAGGGTTAGTATTGCGAAGACTTATTTATGCACATGCGTGAGGGAAAGATCCTTTCCGTTTTGGGAAAATGAAAATGAGACTCTTCTATTGGGTAGAATCAACACTGAGGTCATTCTACTTAATGAGCTGCGTTCTCTCTAAAGGCCGAAATGACACAGAGCCATAAATGCATGGGGATTGTGAGGTACAGCGCTAACAGCAACATAAAGCCTTGTCTTCTGACGACAATGCTGCTTGTTAAGCAGGTACACTGTGACAGGTCCCAGCTGAGGTTGGACAGAAAACATGAATGGGGCCCTGTCCCTGAGTTGAGCTCTGGGGTGCACGATCCTCAGCACTTGATCCAATAAAAATGTTTCTGAAGCAGCACCAGTGACTGGACCCAGTGCCATCCTCCGTCAGCCTGGTGCAGCCAAGTTTACTCAGCTCAGTATTGAGACCTTAGACAACTGTCCTCAGGCTTCAGGGACCCACAAACACTGCATCCATACAGCCTCTTAAAATTATGATATCTAACCTTTTCATTTTCAGACTAAAATTCGTGTTAAGGATTTCCTAATGGTTATATAATATTCTGCTACTTTTTAATCATTGTCCAATTCCCAAAGTAGGAAGAAATTTTAAACAAGTACACATTTAAATATAAGATTAGCAGTTCTACTTAGTTCTAGTAATCTTTGAATCAAGGAAATCCCTCTCTATTGTGAATTCCTAATTTAAGATTCAAAGTGTTACAGAAACCTAAAGATGAAAAATCCTATGTATTTTCAACAAAATTTGTGCTTATTTTTGGCAGGTAATAAGGTAGATGTGTAATAAAATGTTTTTCGGTATTTTCCATGGCTGGCTTGATTACAGAGTTCTGAAGAACCTGGAGTGGAAAGAGTATATAAGAAAACTATATATAAAATATACTAAGACTGTATGGGAACTGGGCAAATTAGTTTAATAATAGATTTTGTTGTTGTTGTTAATCCTCATCTGAGGATAGTTTTCCATTGATTTTTAGGGAGAGTGGAAGAGAGAGGGAAAGACAGAGAGAAACATTGATGTGAGAGAAACACATTGATTGATTGCTTCCGGCACGAGTCCTGACCAGGGCCCGGGCAGGTGGGGAGCCTGCAACCGAGGTACATGCCCTTGACTGGAATTGAACCTGAGACCCTTTGGTCTGCAGGCTGACGTGGGACATAAAACACTGTTGTCTCCTGAATCCACTGAGCCAAACCGGCTAGGGCAGTGGTGGGCAAACTGCGGCTCGCGAGCCACATGCGGCTCTTTGGCCCCTTGAGTGTGGCTCTTCCATAAAATACCTACTTCTGCGCATGGGCCACGAAGTTTCAATCGCACTGTACATGCGCGCCTGCATGTGGTATTTTGTGTAAGAGCCACACTCAAGGGGCCAAAGAGCCACATGTGGCTTGTGAGCCGCAGTTTGCCGATCACTGGGCTAGGGCAATAATAGATTTTTATCAAACTAAAAATCAAAGAACAATATAAAGTTAGAAGTTACTAATTACCATATTTAATGTTTTATCATTTCTGTTTTGTGTAGACTTAAAAAATTTTAAAATTCTGGCAAACATAACCGGAAATTTAATATGCGAACTGATGATGCATTTGGAGATGAGAAGAAACCTAGTAACGCAGCCTGTCAAGACTCCAGTCAGTTCATCCACTCAGACAACTGACTTCCCTCCTGCTGCCCTGTGACTAGCTCTTAGTACTCTGAGGTGTGTGGACACAGTAGGATCAAGTGCACACGCAGAAAGTCCTCATTCACCCAGGTTTCCCAGCCTGTCGCATTAACACTATCCTAAAGCTCCCCTGTTCACTCCTAAAAGAACTCATGCTCATGTCTTTGAGTCCCAATGAAACACACCGACCAACATTGCTTTGTACTCTGAGGAATAACACGGTGAAACGAGATTCTGTAAAAGCCCAACTGACCTCATCGGGGCTGGAGGCCTGATAGGTGCGGTTCTCATCGCTGAAGTCTTGGTCCACCTCTGCGTACTCAGTCTCCCCGGTCACGCCAGCTCGAGACTCGTATACCGGTGTCACGTTGTGGCACAGCGCAATGGCCGTCACTGCTTCGTGAACTCGGCTGCTCACACTCTTTCTAACTTTGGGACCTGAAGACTGGGCTTTTCTTGGTGGAGTTGAACTGGTATTGTTTCCACTAGCTTGAGAGTGCAGCTGTGAATATGGAAGTCACAAAGTTGAAGACAAAGCATAGCTGACATTGGGACTATGATCATGTATTATCTTGTAAACTAATTAGGGTAAGAAAAAGAGCTTGATTTGATTTACTGCTGATGATCTCCTACATCATATGTACTGGTAGGATAAGGTTTTTATCTGACTGCGGCAAGTGCTGTAGTATTTCCCAGTTGTCAAGTAGCCCCAAATATTTGCTATAATGCTTACCATCTGACAGTTTCCTTTTACTAGATTCAATCTAACTGTGGCATTAACTTGCTGAGTCCTTCATAATCCCTGCTTATTTACTATTTCTAAAAGCAGAGTAAGTTTGAGAGCAAAATAGAATGGTATATAATACATCCTCTTTCATTTTTGTTTACAAATGTTCTACTTAAAATGGTATAAACCTTTGCTGAATACCATAAATCAATCCAGCTTGCAACAGTTTCTAAAGTTAGTGTCCAGTTTTGGAGTTCATAATAACCGATAATGGCTGCATTCTGAGGAAGAGTGACCCCCATGTCATATCTCAAAACCCTGTTCTCCTGAAGCAACGACCCAGTTAGCACTGACGTTTGCTTGGCTCTCATCACATTCAGCTGCATTCAAGGGTCTCAGTTCATCAGCCAAGCGGATGACTTTTATTATTCACCTCCTACTCGGGGGAGGGACACGCCCCCTGACCCCACAGGACTGTCAAACATTTCTTCAGCAACTTCAGAGTCACTTGTGACGATCCTCCTTAGCACCAAGCCTGCCGCTTTTGGACGGGGTGTGCAGAGCCACTGAACCGTGACTACTCTGCCCATCAAATTACAGTGCTGTCTAATGAAGGGTTTAACTTCTCTGCTCAGCTGGCACCCCTGTCAGCGAGCTTCAGACCCCACATCTGCGTTCTGCTCACATGCTGCCGTTACAGCAGAAACTCGCTGACGCCCACCTTCTGCATTAGGCTATGCTCACTGATGGCTGTATAATTTAATTTCGCACAAATCCCATGAAAGATATGCCCTCTATCACCAGTGCTTCCAGTGGGGAAATATAACCAGGTTATAAAAGATTTGTGTACATTACAGTGGACCTAGTAGGCTACTGTCATCTTAATAATAAAGAACATAAGGAGTAAAGTCAATTTCACATAAAAAGGACTGTCTAACCAGGTCATCAACAGATAGCTTTTAGTAAAAAAAAAAAAAAAAAAAATTTAAAGTCCTCTTAAATGGGAAAATATTAAATAAATATTTGCTATTTTTATAGACCCATCTTTCCTTCTTTTATTTTTATCTAGTAAAATCACTTATTTGGAGCTATTATAATCATATCTATAATAATAAAAGTGTCATATGCTAATTAGACCGGACAGCCAAACGACCTTCCAGATGACCTTAAGGACGAAGCAGCAGCTGCGAGGGCCGAGCCCTTGCACGAATTTCGTGCATCGGGCCTCTAGTTCATGGATAATATAAATTAATTTTGAAAAGAACAGATGTCACCTGGTACCATTTCAATCCCAACACAGGTTACTAGGAGAGGAGAAAAGACTTCTATTAATAAATACAGGGTGTCCCCAAAACATGTATACACACTTTAACAGCTGATAGTTCAATTGATGTTACTTTCTCTTCAGCCAGACTAAGCTTTGAAAGGAAATTCATCCTAAAATGCTACTGCAAGTTTGAAACACAGTTGAAATATAAACATTACCTTTATAATTATTCCAAGTGTATATACATTTTTATACACTTTAACAGCTAATATAATTCAATCTTCACTCCTTTTCAGGTTTAACTAATTTGAAATAATGAGTGAAGTCAGACTAAGCTTTGAACAAAGAAAATTTATCCCACTAGACTTTATAATGGGGACACATAAAAGATAAAGTTTACAGTACAAAACTGGCAACAGTTGATGAATTGAGGGTATACAAATACCGAACAAAATGATTCTTGATGTTTGTGATTCCATTGCTTTGTGTTACCAGCAGTGTCTGGAACAGAATGGTCATCAGTTTGAAAACAGGCACTGACAAAAAAATTTACTCCTTTCTGTAGATTATTTTAAATTTTGAAAATTATCTGTATGTTAATAAAAACTGACTTTATAATCATTCAAAGTGTGTATACATTTTTGGGGGACACCTATATTCTGGATTACAAAGTACTCCTACTGAAATGAGTGATATCTGAATTAATAAAGTGCTTTGCTTTGAGTATTTGTGCATGTGTGTGTGCTTGTATGAGTATATAAACATTACATATAACAAATATGTACACACGTGATAAATATGTACATATCATATAATAAATATGTATACACATGATAAATATGCACACATGTACACCTATGATAAACATGCACACACATGATAAAGTGTACGTACATGATAAATGTGTACACATATAAGATGATTTTCATTTGACAGCATCTCAAAAGTAAAGTATATGCTGACTGGAGAATACTGCAGAAGACAGAATTTTCATGGATCTGACAACAGTGCCAACAACACCTGAGCTTTGTCTGAGTGGGAAAAGTGCAAGTACATTCAATCCAGTCTACGCAGACTGGAAGGGAATGATGCAAACATGAGAGTCTGCCAAGTCACCTGGTGTGGCCCCGTGGGAGCCCCGAGGGGCAGGGCCTCGGTGCACTGAGCCTTCGCTGCCCTGGTGAACGATAAGTACTTCTGACCCTGACACACCTTGGCTCACTATTATGTGGGTGACTAGATTCTACAACAAATCTACAAAGAGGCAGAGGAAAAGCCAAGGAAGTGATGACTGCTGACACAGACAGCAGCCTCGCATGGGAGCATCTTCGATTCCCTCGGCTGCTAGGTTTCAGTACTCTGAATCAGTGATTTCAGGTTATAGGACAGGTAGAAGGAAATCCAAAGGAAAGAAACACACAACTTGGGAACAGAGCTATGGAGACTGCAGAGCCTAAAAAATGAACACTGGGAAATGGTCTGTCTCCAACCCCTCCACAGATCTCAACATGATCTGCACTCATGCACTCGCCCGGCCGTGTCCAAAGTCAGGAGCCTGGAATGTCAGGACTCCACTGCCTATGGGACAGGCAAACGCCCTAACCGCCAGGCTGCACCCCGCTATGAAAGCAAAAAGTCCCTGTGCTTGCCACCTTACACAACTCTTCTGGGGCCCAGTGAAAAATCGAGATTTAAGCTATATCATAAAAAAAGAGAGCCCTTATCTATTAGAGACAGACTAAATATTATAGGTGAAATCATGGGATATGTGAGTTTCACTTGAAAAGCACTGGGTGAAGGAGAGTGAACAGGCCTGCAGTTTGCTGCACCTGCTGACATGAATAACAGGTACACAGGCTTCTAACACTGTACTTTTACTTCTGTTTACTGAAAAGGTGAAAAAACAAAAGGATATATGAAAAAGTCTTATTAATTATGAAGAAAACCAGAGGAATTATTATGAAACATCTGATGAAGCATTCTACTTAGTATTTTTGAAATACCATCTTCACAGAATAATTTTATAAGTAGTTCTCTAAGAAAATTTAACATGAGTAAGTGATTTAAGGCTATTATGCCTTGCTTCTACAGTATAGAAATGCCTATTTAAAATTAGTCCAAATCTGTTGCTTGATTTATAAGTTAGAGCTGATGATGGAACTAATGCAATGCTTTAAGATAACGGAAGGAGTTTGCTAGTGCGCAGACCAGCACCTGAGGCTCACCGGAAGTCATACCTGTGTGTAGGAGCTCCTGATGTGGCTCTGGATCTCATCCATTGTGTCTGTCCCATAGGACACAGTGCCCAGATGCAGCCGCTTAAATACCATTTCATTCTGAGTGAGGGTTCCTATGATACAAGGAGCAACAGAAAATGAGAGCATACAGGTGGCTCATCGAGATTGTGGTGTTCCCTCCCCGACACACCTCTGCTGCCACAACCTCTGCTCCATGACAGAGTCTCCTGAAATGCCTTTTGCTGCTCTTTTCATCTTACTAGTGAGGACAAGAAGTGTTCTTCCCAGCATGTCAAGAATAACTTTTAGTAACTTTAGTGATGTGAAGGGGCCTAGTTCTGTGAAGAAAATCTCCCCTCTGCCTGTTGACACAAACGCCATTTTTGCCTGTTCTGAAAACGACAGGCACAAAACTGCAACACTGAGTCACAGCTATGTAATCACATGACAGAGCTCTGCCCGAGCAAGACAACTAGCCCCAAATTAGTGTGTCTATCAGTTAAAAACAACAACCTTATTTTGAAAAATTAAGTATTTTTAATTGAACAGAAGCAGGTGCATCTAAGCCCTGGAGGAAGAGAAAGGAAAGGAGTGAGAGGGAAGGCATTTACTCTGTAGCTGTGAGCTGCTGGTATGCTCACTGACTCCTTGGCAGGCGAGGACAGTGTCCAAGCGATCAGTGGTCAATCCTTGGGACTGCCAGTCGGTTGGGGCCAGACACTAATGTGAGCGTGAGGCAGTGAGGAAGGCAGGCTAAGAGGGGTGCACAAGCAGGTCAACTTTCTGAGAGCTCATGGTTTCGGCTTCCTACCGAAAAGATACACAAGCAGATGCAGTGAAGCAACGTCATGAGAGAGGTGGGTAGAGATACCACCACACTTCAGACAGCTGTTGAGTTTTTATTAAGTGGGAATAAATTCACAGTGCTATATATCTTAGAGCTCTGGAAGGAGACCCTCAACACTTTACGAATCAGTTAATATAAAAATACACTAATATATGCACTTAACTTCGGCCCATCTGGTTTCAGAGTCTGACCTCCTGTGAGGTACACATCAGTCCTGTTTGGATGGCTCTGGTACTGTCTCCCTTAGGCTTCTCTGCGCTCATTTCAAAGCTGTAGATCAATTTGGGGAATAATGCTGCATCTTAACATTATGAGATCCTATGCACTGGTACACTGACTTTATTTTTGATGCTATTGTAAATGGAATTGTTTACTCAATTCTATTTTTGGACAGTTTATTGCTAGTGTATAGAAATACAATTCATTTTGGTATATTGATCTCGTATCTTGAAACCTTACTAAACTTGTTTATTGGTTCTAATACAATTTTTAGATTAGGATTTTCTATATAAAGGTCATGTTATATATGGTTTTGCCTGACAGCTGTGGCGAGAACCTTGAATATTCATAGCAGCATTATTCAATAGGCAAAACCCAGAACAATGTTAATGTCTATCAACTAATAAATGGCAAATAAAATGTGGCATGTCCATACAATGGAATAGTACTCAGCAATAAAAAGGAATGAAGCATTGACACATGCTACAATATGTCAGTTATGCTGAGTGAAAGAAGCCAGTCATTTGAAAAATGCAATAGGCAAATTCACTGAGGCAGTAAGATTAGGAGTTGCCTAGGACAGGATGGGAACGAGGAAGAATGAATGGAGGCTGGTGTATATACAAGTAGGCTTTGTAGAGTGATGAAAACATTCTAAACTTAGATTGTAATGAAGGTTGTCCAGTAGTTATGCCAAATATTGAGAGAGTGATACATCCTGAAGGTCTGTTATTTGATTCAAACATTGTGCAACAACTGCTGCACTTTCTAAAATTCTAACTTGCTACTAAATCAAGTTTTAAGCCATTTAAAACTGATATAGTCAGCATTTTTCATCAAATGAACAATGAAATATGTGTCTGTTACTTTGGCATTTGAATAATTAAGTTTACATCTTGTTGGGTTAAAGATACTGAAATATTTATGCAGACATGCCTTTAGGTGAGTGGCATGTATAATTTCTCACATTTTAAGGTGAATCCTGAAAATGTTTTTTAAAATTTCAAGGAAGTTTTGCTCCCACAGCTGACTGCAGGACTCTGAGCAAGACGGTCCGGGCTGGGGTTGTACTTCTGTGCCCTCAGGTATAGCAGCCAATGTGGGGAGACAACACCAGTTACTAAAAGAATCAGTAATGAAACTTATTTTCCAGATCTTATCTTCCTGACAGTTCCTACAATTTTTATTGTCTTAATATAGCAGAAGTTAGTATGTCCTGAATCTGAAACTTGGCAAAGGGGCGGGACTAACTGAGTCAGGCAGAGGCTGAGAGCCACTAGGTCAGAGCATCCAATGACCTCTAGTCAGGATACTGGCTCCATGGGCAGGAAGTGTCTTTTAATAAAAGGTTTGGTTGTGATTCCTATTTTTTTTTAAAAGGCTGTAGCTCTTTAATAAAGCAGATTTTTGGACTACAATGAGAAAAACAGGCAAAGAGGAAATTAACTTCTAAGGAATAAGTCCTGCAGACGTCGTTCTTGGGATGGTGACAGATGTGACACAACTAGCAGAGGAACACTGTTAGAAAAGCAGATGCAGAGCTTTCTGATCAAATATTCCCTGGTGGTGATTTGGCCTCAGACTAAAACTAGAACCTGCTGCAGCAGAGGAGGGAGAGGTGGTTGCCATAGGAAACAGAGACAACCCGCCCACAGCTCACAGGACTGGCAGCTTCCAGCCTGCACATCACTTCCTGTGAAGGTTCTAGTTCAGCAATGGGGTTGATGGCTGTATTAAAACACAAAGCTTCTTAGAAAACTTCTAATTTACCAAACTGTAGAGTATGCATCAATTCTTTAAACTATCGGACACCATTTAATGTGGAGTCACATACAGTGCTTGCTGTCCATGGGCTTTCTCAAGATGACGTTCCCAGCACTGTAGGATCTGTTCAACTGTGGAGTGTCCAAACACCCCAAGATGTGAACAATGGCACTCACACCCAAATCCACACCGCAGTGACTTTGCCAGCAGGACTGCTTACACATGCCCCAACTGAAGACCCTGTCACCATCTCCAGACAGAACACTGCTCACCCCTCATGAGAGTGTGGCTCGCAGGCACCCTGCATGCTGTGGCAGCAACATGGCCCAGCACAGATGGCTGTCCTAGGAAACGTGAGTGATTCAAGTCCAAGCAACATGGCATTTTGGGTAATGGGTTTAAGTTAATTTGTGAGTCCTCAGAAACCTGTTATTTTAGTGAGTGTTTTCAATAATGGCTTTGTTCTACATGAAGATAAAAACTCCCTAACAAACAAATTAGAGTGTGGCTTTAACAGGCTGAATCAGCACTGTTTTAAAACCTTCGAGTCCTCTGCAGCCTTGTTCTTAACCAGTGGCACCACCAAAGGCACTGGAGAGGAAGGTCCAGCAGACTGACAAGGTGCAGCTCCAGCTGCAGCACTGTTCATCACGTAGCGGCTGTATCTCTGGTCAGTGTCAATATGCTCCACATCCTGGCAGCTCACAGATGCCAACTCCTGCCGAATGAATTACTTTATGTCTCACGCACTGGTGGCCACAGATGTGTCACTATAGCAACATCATTAATTTCAGATCTTACCGGAAACATGCACTCCAATCAAACCTAATTATACCACTCTGCTTTCTTGTCCACAAGAAACTGTAATTCGATTATTGGGGTGCTGCATCTCCCTGCCTCTTCCACTCTGCTCTGGCCAAGGACAGTGGCACTTAGGGAGACCTCTTGTCAAAAAGCTTCTTGATGAAGCACAAACCCAATTTGCAGTACTGTGAAGCCCCACCTCGCCGTTATGTAGCAACGTGGGGCTCCTCAGAGGCTCTTCATTCCAGCCAGAGTGCAGGCTCCTTGGAAGATGTCTGCAAACTGCTTCCCGCCCTCCCTGACACCGAGTTCCACCCGACAACTACCTCCTGTCAGGCCTGCTGCTGCAGGGTGATGGAGGTCATCACGGTGACCCTAAGACCTGAATTTTTTACATGACCAAAGTGAGGAATAGAAATAGAGCATATTACTTAAGTTCCTGGAAAGCACATGCACACAAGTAAACACCAGGAATGCGCCCGTTTCAGGGGCACAGAGGAGTTTCTGGAATCTGGCTGTGACTTGCTAATGCACAGAAATCTATGTGTGCCTAACTGTTCAGTGCCCTCCTGCTGTGCCAACCCCACCACAGAGCCGTGCTCACAATAAGGCTTGTTTAGAGGATTAGGGAATCTGCCCTAGTGCACATGTCATTAATGGACCAGGTCTGCCCATGGACCCCATCCCACTATGTGGACACCATGTTTTTCAGTGTCCAAGTGCAGATGGGGCTGAATCCTATTCACCTGCTTGCAGTGACAGGATAATTAGACAATCAGTGCTCTATTTGCACACCTATGATTTGGTCAGTGTGGCCCTGATGAATGGCCACAGCCAACACTCCCCCGCCAAATGCCTGGGACCCTGACCTGAGGCAACACACCCTCGGGAAGGAGGAGACCCAGTCCTACATGTTTTTATTTCAATTTATTTTTAACTAGAGGTCCAGTGCACGAAATTCGTGCACGGGTAGGGTTCCTGGGCCTGGCTGGGGATCAGGGTTGATTTGTTGGGTGACCAGCAGGGTGATGGGGGGGCCCCTGCTGGCACCTGCCTTGGGCGGCCTGGCATCGCCCACTCACCAGCCCCGCCCCCCCGCTGCTGGTCACCACCCTCTACGGGGTGACCGGCCGGGCAATTGAGGGGCCCCCGCTGGCACCCGCCTTGGCTGACCAGGGGCCTGTGGGCAGCTCCTGCATTGAGCATCTGCCCCCTGGTGGTCAGTACACATCATAGCGACTGGTCATTCCACCAGTCATTCTGTGTTCAGTCGATTTGCATGTTAGGCTTTTATTATATAGGACTAGAGGCCCGGTGCACAAAAATTTGTGCACTGGGGGGGGGGAGGGGGGTCCCCCAGCCAGGCCTGCGCCCTCTCGCAGTCTGGGACCCCTCGGGAGATAACGACCTGCTGGCTTAGGTCTGCTCCCGGGTGGCAGAGGGCAGGCCCAATCCCTAGGTGCAGCCCCTGGTCAGGCTCAGAGCAGGGCCGATTGGGGAGTTGGGGCGCCGCCCCGTCATGCACAGAGCAGGGCGGATCGGGAGGTTGCGATGCCACCCTCAGTCACGCTCAGGGTAGGGCCGATTGGGGGGTTGGGGCACCACCCTCTGTCACACTCAAGGCAGGGTCGATGGGGAGGTTGCGGCGCCACCCCCTGTCACGCACAGAGCAGGGCCAATCAGGGGGTTGGGGCGCTGCCCCCTGTCACTCACAGAGCAGGGCCCATCAGGGGGTTGGGGAGCTCCCCCCTTTCATGCACAGAGCAGGGCCGATCAGGGGGTTGGGGACCTCCCCCCTTTTCCCGCACAGAACAGGGCGGATCAGGAAGTTGGGGGCGCCCCCCCTTTCACACTCAAGGGCAGGGCCGATGGGGAAGGTTATGGCTCTACCCCTTCACACACAAGAGCAGGGCCTGTGGGGGGGGGGGTTGGGCGCCGCACCCTGTCACACACAGAGCAGGGCCCATCAGGGGGTTGGGGCACCTTCCCCTGTCATGAACAGAGCAGGGCGGATAGGAAGGTTGTGGCCCCGCCCCCTGTCACACACAGAGCTGCAGGGTGATCAGGGGGTTTGGGCGCTGATCCCAGTGCTGGGAGGCATATTACCCTTTTACTATATAGGATAGAGGCCTGGGGGCTGGCTGGTTTGCCCTGAAGGGTGTCCTGGATCAGGGTGGGGGTCCCCACTGGGGTTCCTGGCCAGCCTGGATGAGGGGATGATGGCTGTTTGCAGCTGGTCACACCCCCTTCAGGGTGGGGGTCCCCACTGGGGTGCCTGGCCAGTCTGGGTGAGGGGCTGAGGGCTGCTTTCAGGCTGGCGGTTGTTGACTGAAGCTCCCAACCGCTCCTTTTTTTTCTCTTTTTTTATTTTATTCTGGGCCAGCTTTAGCTCTGGCTCTAGCTCTGAGGCTTCGTATCTGGTTTGTTTGCCATTCTATAATCGAAACAATGTATAACTTCAGCTCTGAGATCCCAGCAGGCTGAAAGCTGGTTTCTGGGGTTTTGTTTAGCTTCTTATTTGCAACATAGTACATAGTTGTTTAGAGTTGCAGCTCAGAGGCCGGCAAGTCAGGCGGGGAACGCTGGAGTCCGCAGTCCCTGGAGCAAGCAAGCCTCATGTTCGCTTCCAGCTGCCTGGCTGCCGGCCGCCATCTTGGCTGACAGTTAATTTGCATAAGGATATGCTGATTAAACAATGGGAAGGGTAGCGGTCGTATGCTAATTACCATGTTTCTCTTTTATTAGTGTAGATTATATAGGATTGCTTTGTTCATTTACTTGCCATTCTAATCGGCATGTTTACATTAAGTGTCCCAATTGTTGTGGATACACAGAAATGTAGTTTAACTTTGACAGTGGGTTTATATATGTAAGCTCTCTCATAATTCTAAACATTTCCCTGATGGTTCTTTTAGATTTCTTTGTAAAAGCCACTGAATTTTTCTTTGGGAACAGCTCACTTGTTCATGTTGGCACTCTGATTTCTGTAGGTGATTTTTGGTTTCCGGTTACATTTGTCAATTAAGTCCAGGCTGACTGGTTGGTAAGCAGGATAGTTTCTTCTGTGAATGCTTGCCCTGTGCACCTGTTGGCTCTACATTCAGTATTTCCCTTCTTATGCTTCAGAGTCACTCCAAGTTCAGATGTGCTTTTCTCTGGCTGCTCTCTCAAACAATTTCCAGCAACAACTCCATTTCTGGATCCTTTGACGCCGTTCTGCTTGCTTTCTATATTGTTACAGGCCTGTTCTTTAAACTTCTTCCCATCAGCTCAACACAGCTAGTAAGGGAAACTCCGAAGGCTCTTCCTCCACTGACCTGCTTGAACCCGAGCCCCTCATACTGTTATTTCTGAGTTACTCTTGATTCCTGAGCATCGCATGCCTGGCCAGTACTCAACATCCGTCAAAGACAGGCCCAAAGGAAACCCGAACAGTCCAACACGGGATCTGACAGCACTGCAGTGATCAAATGTATGGCATGGTTGTGAGGCTGCTGTCTCTGCAATGGGGACTTCACATTTGGGATGTGTTTGTCTTCTTTTCCATTTCTCTGTGACGGCTGGACATTCTGCACATGTGCCCTCTGCCATCTTCGCATCCCAGCATGTGTGCTCCATGTGGACTTAGGCTATTGGGTCCCAGCGTGCATGCTCTGCGTGGACTTAGGCTAGCAGGAAGGGTCCTATTCTCTAGTCTATTCTACACGCAAAGGGCTACTGTGCTGCTTTTATCTGGAACCTGCCACTCACTCTACTGATAGCTTGTATCCACCAGTGATTTTCTTGGTTGATCGTTACATCTGCAAACATTTGTTTTTTCTTTTTGTTGTTTACCTTATTTCTACTTTTTGTCTTGCTGCAATGGCTAGAATAATAATAATTAAACAGCAGTGTTGTTAGCAGATTTCTCTTTCTTCTTCCTGATTATAGTGAGAACTTTTCTAATATTTTATTTAAAATGCTGAATTTTATTCAAGACATTTTCTTTACCATTTATACAAATATTATTTTATTTATAGTTCACTAATAATTATTTGGAAATCATAAACCAATAAATCAAGGAGGAATTGAACCTTTAGATCTGGTTTTTATTATAGTGCTGCATTCAAATTGTTTTTTTTTTCTAGTATGTTATGGATTGACAAGAATTCTTTGATGAATAAAAGAAACAAAACAAAATAAAGACAAATATAATTTTGGGCATGGAACCTCAAGGTGAGATAAATTGTTTGTGGTAAGGCTCTTAAGGAGAAGGTCATTGTTAAAACACCAAATTGTTATTTTCTTTTATAGCTCATGTGTCATTCTATAATAAACAAGCAATTTTTGCTCTTAAAAAGCCACTAGAGAGGTGTAATAAAAGCAGTTAAAAATAAGACCAAAAAATCTGTAAGGCTGTAAAAAATTAAAAATATAGAAATGTCATTTCAATCTCTGAGAATGTAATATTTTGCTAATTCTGATGATACTGTGTATATGAGAAGATGAAAATTAGTTGCGTGTCAGTTTTCAAGAGCAGAATCTGAGAAACTCTAAATGTGACTCAATGCACAGACACCATAAACCCACGTGGACTTATACACACCAGGCAACCTGAGGTGCACGCGCGCACACACACACACAAGTGGTACCTGTCTTATCCGTCAGCAGGTACACGAGGCGGCCCAGCTCCTCTGGGATGGTGCTGGTCCGGACGACTGTGCCGGGAATGTTCTCATCCCTCATCATCATCCACCCATATGCTGCTTTACCCATGTCCAAGTTCACACGCAAACTGCCAAATAAAATCATCACATGGTTAGTGTGAATACTAACATGCTCATGATTTCCATCTAAATTTATTTATTTATACACATTATCTTTAACTTTACACGAAATAAGTAACATTGAATTTTAGACTTTGAAATAAGTGAACTTACTGTCTTTTAAGTCAGCAAACCTTTCTACACCCCAGGACATGCCTGTAGGTGACAGTGAAGTAGTTACTCATGCTGTCCTCCAGCGTGATCTGTGACATCGGATGGGAAAGAAAAAGATGGGCTGTTTTAAGTGCCTTGGGCAGGCAGGGTGCCAGGCTGCGTCCCACTGGGAATATCTGAAATGGGTCTTGTTTTATAACAAGAACCTATACTCCTTGGTGGCATTATCTCAATCCTAAGCAAGGTTTCTGATGGAGTCACAGATGTTGAGGTCCTTCTAGAATTGCATCAATGACTTCTCAGTGTCTTCCTCAGTTGCAGCAAAAACCTGGGCAAAAGTCATCTTCAGGGAGTAGGCTTTAAAAGCTGTTACAACCCCCTGATCCATTTGATCAAAGAGGTAATGTTTGGAGAAACAGCACTTTGATATTGGGAAGAACATCACCAATAAAAAGAGGATGCCATGAGCATTATTAACAATAAGCAAAATCTTGAAAGCTATGTTCTTCTTCAAACAGTACTTCTCTATTCCACTGGCACAGCAACTCAGGAGGGCATCGTGGAGGAGGAGCTGGATCTCCCGTGACTTCTCATTGTTCCTGCAGGACACTGGCAGCGGTGCTTATTGACGAGCTTGGAGGCCCTGCGGTTCTCACTATCCCCATTATAAAGGGTTTCAATTTGTAACCTGCAACACTGCCACCAAGCAAGATGGTTATCTCATCCTTAAAAGCCTTGAAACCAGCACTGACTTGGTCCCCTTAGGGATGAAAGTCCTTTCAGGCATTTATTTCCACAATAGTGAGTTTCAGCCATATTGAATATTTGCTCTGGCAAGTAATTTTCCTCCACAATCACCTTCTCTAGAGTTTACAAAAATTCTTCAGCTGACTTCACATGAGCACTTACAGGCTCACAACTCACTCTCACATTACAGAATAAATAACAATTCTTGAATAGTTTAAACCACTCACAACTAGCAGTAAATTCAACACAGTAGTCAGGTCCAGCCTTTTCTTTCAATATTGTTTTGCTTTGGCCGTGGTCGTCATGGTGCTGAGTGGGATATGTGTTTGTGTTTGGTCTTCAATACAGGTCATCAGTCCCTAGCCGGTTTGGCTCAGTGGACAAATTGTCAGACTGTGGACTGTCAATTCTGGTCAATTGCACGTACCTTGGTTGCAAGCTCCCGGCCCTGGCAACCAATTGATGTGTTTCTTTCACATCGGTGTTACTCTCTGTCTCTCCCTCTCCTTTCCACTCTCTCTAAAAAAAATCAATGGAAAAAATATCCTTGGGTGAGAATTAAAAAAAAAAATACAGGCATCAGAAGTTTCTCCATGTCTGATGGAAGCTCTTTCTGAACTTTTTGTTTTAGAAGGAGAGCAGAGAGACAGAAACATCAATGAGAGAAAAACATTGATTGGCTGCCTCCTGCACATCCCTTAGTGGAGATTGAGCCCTCAACCCAGGCATGTACCCTGACGGGGAACTGAACCAGTGACTTTTGGTGCAACCTTACAATGAAGGTATGTTCTGTGACAACTAAGCTAAAATAAAGACAGTTAGAAAATTCAAATATACTTGTAAATGAAGAAATAACTTTGTAATAACCATGGATCAAAGAAGAAATCACGATGCAAATTAAAAAACATTGTCAAAATATGAAAACTTGTGGGATGCAGCCTAAGCAGTACTCCTATAGAAAGAAATTCATAGCTTCTATTGCATGTATTCAAAAAAGAAAAAGCGCTGAAAACTAGTGAATTAAGCATCTATCACAAGAAGTAAAGATAATAAAAACCAAAGAAGGTAGGAGGAAAGAAATAAAGTATGGTACTATTAATAAAAAAGAAATATATCATATAGCATAGAGGAGATTTTTCTACAACTACTGAAGCTGACAAACCTATTGGAAGACTGAAAGAAAAAAGGAAAGATAACTAATTATCAGGAAAGAAAACAATCCTCTCTCTATGGGAGATTATAGGAAAATATTATGAGCAAGCTTTTGTGAATAAATTAGAATACTTAGGTACAGCTGACACGTTTCTTAAAAGCCATAACTTTGCAAAACTGACACGAAAAGAAATAAAAATAATTTGAAATTAAGTTTTGTAACCCTTTAAAGTCAACTATTTAAAAAATATCTACAGAGAAACCAAGATGGCGGCATAGGTAAACACCGGAAATTGCTACCTCGCACAACCACTTCAAAAATACAACTAAAAGACAAAACGGACATCATCCAGAACCACAGGAAGGCTGGCTGAGTGGAAATTCTACAACTAGAAGGAAAGAGAAAAGCACACTGAGACTCAGAGGAGGTGTGGAAGTAAAGTGCAGAGGTACGAAGGCGCATGTGGAAAGGGCTGGCAACTGAGGATGTGGCGTACGTGGACAGGGCTGGCAACTGAGCACATGCTTGTCTTTTTCAATGGGGAGGGAGTCTCAAGCTCCCGACTGCTCTGAACTCCAGTTCCAGGAGAGTCTCTGGGGACCCAGACTCATACAGGGAGAAACTGGACTGTCTGGCAGCGGGTGGAACTCGAGGGCGGCTTTCTCTCAGAGGAGCTTGCAGCGATTACCGGGACACTGAGACTTGGGGACTCTTAGGGTAGGACTGAGGAGCAGCCATAGCTGCATGCTCCACCCTGTTGATCCCCTGAGACCCTGCCCCACCCAAGCTGTGCGCAGAGGCTTTTGCATATGAAAGGCCTGGCCCTTTGCAATCTGAAAATTACCTAACAAACTGCAGCTGGGTCAGAGAGACCCAGAACTTCCAAAAGGAGGCCCAAGGCCCCACAGCAGCTTGCACTGCTTCACAGCTGTGCCTCATCTGGGCACCTCCAAACCCCAAACAAAGAAGAGGAATCTGCAGATCTCTCCATAGCTCCTGCTGGGTAGTCTCAGGCAGAGGCTAAATTAGCACCTCCTTAGAGATCCAAGAGCCAGTGTACCCAGTGGTCAGAGTGGGACCATCCATATTACAACTCCTCAGATCCATAAGGGACATACTCAGGGGGCAGACTCAGTGAGCACCAAAGCCCCACTGAAGCAAGTCTTGCCCAGAAGGGTGTCTCCAGCACAGAAGTTC